GTAAGTAGGAATACCGGTTGTAAGTCATTGTTTTCAGTGCCATTGTAACTTCGAACAGTCACTAAATGAAAGGTTGTTAGTCAAGGACTGTAGTGTAGACGTGGGAAGAGGCAGAGGAACATTCTGATGGAAGATGAGCTTGGAAGATCTCCAGAAGTTCCATGGAATCTATTTCTTTTCTCCTGGCTCTGTTTCTCAGCTCCAATCAACTCATTTAAGCTGATTGGCTGATGTGCAGGCGGTACTGGACTGGAATAGTAGCTACCTCACCCATGTTGGCTGAGTTTGGCTGTTGTTGTTTTTTTAACCATAGAGGTTACTGGCAATTGAATATGGTTCTCATCCCTCTTTTGCAATCCTCTCATTTTTGCCCAAATTAAACATAAGTTTTGAAGAAGCAGGGTAGAAACAGTACTGATACAACTGAACTTTGGTGTTGGAGAAGATTCTGGAGAGGAGCATGACTAGCTAAGAAAACAGTCAAATGGATCCTCCTTTCTCCAAAACACCAGAAGGCAAGGCAAGAAGCAACGGATGGATGGAAACTAATTAAGGAGAGAAGCAAGCTAGAACTTGCTGACAGACAGGACAATTAACCAGTGGAACGGCTTGCCTCTGGAAGTTGTGGGTGCTCCATCACTGGAAGTTTTCAAGAAAAGACTGGACAGTCATTTTTCCAGAACGCCATAGGAGTCAGTTGCTGAGCATCCAAAATTGAGATCCCGTGACCACAGGCTGCTGCAACAGTCGTAATTGTGAAAAATGGTCATAACCAGGGGTGGGATTCAGCCGGTTCGCACCACTTCGGCAGAACCGGTAGCTAATTTTTTGTTGCCCAGGCCCAGAATAGACTTCCACACAGAGAACCGGTTGTTCACCTATTTGAATCCCACCTCTGCATGCAGGTTGTTGTGCTCTCCTTGTAAGCAGCACCAAAAAGCTTGTTATCTCTCTCCACAATTGCATTTTGACACCTGGCATTCTTTTTTCAATCTCACATCTCTGTTAGTGGCCTTTCCTTTTTCCATCCATCCATCCCTCTTACCAAGACACCCCAGCAAAATTTCAAAAAAAGTTCTCTGGAACAAAATTGCTTATGACATTAAAATAAAGATAAACCGTCAAAGCTATTATTTCCTTCTGAAATGTTTGGGAGGAAGATCGCCCGCTGTGCAATTAACAGTCATTAAACAAACAGTTGTAAGTTGAGGACCACCTGTAACATCCCCTTTCCGTCTCCAGAACTACTACATGCCCGTCACAGCAAGAGAACGCAAGCAGCAGATTTGAAAACTACCGACCCCCGGCACAGTAGAACATCTGAAACTGGAGAAGGGGATATTTTTTTCCTGATTGACTTTAGCTCTAATCTAAAGAAGTCTAAAAATATACCAAAGTCTGGAAGTGTCACAAGTCGGATGGGATATCACTTGTTGAGCTCTGCAGCTGGAAGGGGGGCTTAGAAAAATACTTGAGGTTGAGCTCCATGAAGGAACATCCCTGCCCGTTACTCTGCCATGGTTAATTGGATATTAATTGAAGGAATTTCGCTCTATGCCTGGGATAAACAGACACACGCCAGGCACCCTGTGCCATTTCGCGCCACTAACAAGCCCTGGCATACCGAACAGACAGTCCCGTTTAGTCTCTCTGCTCCCTGTTGACAGAAAGTCATCTTTTGCATTCTGATGACTTCTGCAGGATAGCGGATCTTAAAGCCAGCGTTAAGCCTGGGAATTGCCTGGTTATGCGTCTCCCGAAACTCCCTCGCTTCTTTTCATAAAACAAAGTGTTTTCCCCTCCCCAAATACAGGTCATCCTCGACTTACAACAGTTTATTTAGTGACCATTCAAAGTTACAATGGCACCGAAAAAAGTGACTTAGGACCGTTTTTCACACGCAGCATTCCCAGGGTCACGCAATCAAGATTCAGACGCTTGGCAACTGACTCGTACTTATGACGGTTGCGGTGTCCCTTTTTACGACGTCCTGACAAGCAAAAGTCAATGGGGAAGCCAGATTCACTTAACAACTGTGTTGCTGACGTAACAACTGCAGTGGTTCACTTAACAACGATGGCAAGGGAGGTCGTAAAATGAGGCAAAATTCGCTTAATGCATGTTTCATTTTGCAACAGAGATTTTGAGTCCCATTGTGATCCTAACTCGAGGACCATCTGTGCACTTAAAACAAACTTGCCATCTGCTTTATTATGCACATTGCAGCCAAAGCACAATAGAGATTTTGGTGCTGCTGTGTTTTTCGTGTTTGGCCATAAACAAATTGCTTAAAGGATTTCATGCCTGTAAAAGAAGATACGTGCTAAGCACAAGCCTTAAGGATTTACAAGTAGTAATTTACAAGAACAGCTTACCCCAGAAATCGTGGGCAATCCATCACTGGAGATCTTTAAGAGGAGACTGGACATTCACCTGTCTGAGATGGTATAGGCTCTCCTGCTTGAGCAGGGGGCTGGACTAGAAGATCTCCAAGGTCCCTTCCAGCTGTATTCTATTCTATTCTATTCTATTCTATTCTATTCTATTCTATTCTATTCTATTCTATTCTATTCTATTCCTTGACATATGACTGTAATGGAGCCTCCCCCCCTTACAATCATTAGTTGTGGGTCTTTCATGTGACCAGCCTGTTGATGTGGGACTAACACTCCAGACATGCACCCAGAAGCTGTTTCTTATTGGAAATACTTGACAGATGTTGTTGTTAGTTGCGAAGTCATGTCCGACCCATCACGACCCCATGGACAACGTTCCTCCAGGCCTTCCTGTCCTCTACCATCTTCTGGAGTCCCTTTAAGCTCACGCCTCCTGCTTCAGTTACTCCATCCAGCCACCTCATTCTCTGCCGTCCCATTCTTCTCTTGCCCTCCATCTCTCCCAGCATTAGGCCCTTCTCCAGTGAGTCCTTCCTTCGCATTAGGTGGCCAAAGTACTTGAGTTTCAACTTCAGGATCTGGCCTTCTAAAGAGCAGTAAGGGTTGATCTCCTCTAGGACTGACCGGTTTGATCGCCTTGCAGTCCAGGGGACTCGCAGGAGTCTTCTCCAGCACCAGAGTTCAAGGGCCTCCATTCTTTGGCGCTCAGCGTTTTTATGGTAGGGCATCTTGATCCTCCCACCAATCAGCCATTCCTGCAGGAGAATGTGGCCCTGTGCACGATCCCTTCTCTTGTTTGTTCAGTTGCATTTCTCCTGTTGATGTGGGACTAACACTCCAGACATGCACCCAGAAGCTGTTTCTTATTGGAAATACTTGACAGATAGTCCTCGGTTACTCACACTTACAACAATCACAGCATCCTCCACGGCCACATCATCAAACTCCATGTATTCGTGATGGTTGCAGCATCCCAGGGACACGTGATTGCCATCTGCAACCTTCCTGGTCAGTTTCGCACCAGCAAAGTCAACGGGAGAAGCCGGACTTGTCTAACCACTGTGTGATTTACCGAACTGCAATGATTCGCTTAACAGCTGTGGCAGGGTCCTAAAACCGGGCCCGATTCACTTAGCAACCGCTTTGGGAATTCAGGTCCCAATTCTGATTGTGAGACAAGGACCCCCTATATTTACTGGGTTGCCTGTTCCAAAAGTGAGCAGGGGGCCCAGCACGAATTCCACGGCCGGTCTCGATTCCGACTCAGGCTGGGGCTGTCATTCAAAAGCGTCTCACAAAACAAGCTGACAGATCTTTGGCAGGACGGCGGCTGGGATCCGGCAGGCTGTCGAATGAAGATTGGCTGGTCTGTCTCTCTCCGGCTGGCGGCTGGCCCACCCACCTCATTGTCTGTGCCAGGAAGGCTTGATTTAAGGGGCCAGGTGCAAAACAAGGGAGATGAGGAAGGCTGTTAGCTGGGAGAAAAGTGGGAGAGGACCCTGGGACTGCAAATAGATTTGCTACAACAGGGCAGTCCAACAGGCAGGGGAAGGGAAGAGTTTTCATCATGGGTGCTATGGGTAATCCTCGAATTACGACGATTGGGACCAGATTCTCTGTTGCTAAGCAAGGCGGTTGCTAAGTAATATAATATTAAATATAATATAACGTCCTGCTTACCCAACAAATTTATTCCATTCACGAATGCCTAATGCAGGGGTTCCCAACCTTTTCTGTACCCCCGCGCCCCTAGAACGCTTCTGATACATTCTCGCACCCCTTACAAAAGTTCGAAATAACAGCAACGGATTATGCACGTACACTATAATTTTGAAACTTCTCTTTTTTTTTTCAAGTATAAAATTTTTATTGTTTTCATCATAGAAAAAAACATCACAAGTATTTCACAATGCAATAAAAAGAGCCCCACCCCCACCCGCCCACCCCCCGGACTTCCCAAACCTAATCCCAGGATACTATTCAGATATAAGTAAACTAATATTAATATCCCTAACTCCACAAAGTATATTATTCTACATGAGTAGGTAAAATATATAGAAAGAAGAACAAGTTAACTAGAAACCTAAATTATATTCCACCACTCTATGCTTCTTTTGAATATAAACAATCCATCTTCTCCATATTAATAAAAATTGTTCATTTGAATGATTCTTCAAATAAGCCGAGATCTTTGACATTTCAGCAAGGTACGAAACCTTCAATCTCCAGTCCTCCATTGTAGGTAAAATTTTACTCTTCCAATTTTGAGCTATCAACAAACGGGCAGCAGTTAAACAATACAACATCAAGTTCGTTTCTTTTACATCCAAATTTTGTGTGATACCTAGGAGAAATAACTGAGGCAAAAAAATAATTCTTCTTTTAAAAATTTGCTGTAGATTCCACCACAATTTTAAATTTTGAAACTTCTAAACCCAAGTTTTTGCATCTCCTGGAATACCGTCTCGCACCCCCGGTTGGGAACCCCTGGCCTAAGGTAAAACCTACCACAAGAGGTGGTAGGTCTTACCTTAGGCCAGGGGTTCCCAAGAAGGAGGTTGGAGATAATATGGGCTACTTCTCCTTTCGATAGGTGGATTCCAGTCTAGATCTTCCCACGTCTGCTAAAGATGTCTCACCGGGGCAAAAAAAGGACTTCCAAAAGTGGACATTCTACAAACAACTCAACCGAGGCCCCCGTTCTCACCGGGGCGAAAATGGATTCGTTGGGTTTCCAAGCGATGGAGAGTAACGTTCCTGGCTTGTCCCAGGTTATCCTTCAGAAACTCAACATGAAGAATTATGAGGATTATAGGTGAGTTGAACTGTCTGGATTGTCTGATTTCCCTGGCACTTGACCCACAATCTCTGGAGGTCTCTTGGAATTGCCCCCTTCCTTCTTGGGGGCACAGGTATTCTGGGACCTTGGGAATGGTCCTCTGGCTTAAAGTAGGGTGGTTTCTTCCTTGGCATTTCTTTGGCATGGCCTGCTTCCTTCTAGATCCGCGCTGGAGGGCAAGACCCCCTGCACGGAGTTTGGCATCCGATCCTACTTTGAGATGTTTCAGAAAATGGAAGACACGTTCAAATTTTGCGTCGAGTGCAAGAAGCTTCCCGATTCACTGCCTGATCCCAGAAGCCTACGACGTTGTAAAAGGTAAGTCGTCAGACTCGATGGCAACAATCTTTTTAGACTGTTAGAGACTCCCCCACATTTACATGCTGTAGGAAGCTTTCTAAGGCAGCAGAATCATTAAATAAATTGAGTTTATGCAAAATGGCAGCGAGAGCTCTGAAAGAAGCAAAGAATGCAAGTCTGGATTTTAGACCTTGCTATTGAGATGCGATAAAGATGGTGCAGTAGCCCAGTGGTTAAGATGCTGGACTTGTTGGCGGGAAAGCCGGCAACCCAGGTTCGAATCCCGAGCGCCACGTTGATGGGGTGAGCGTCCGTCCTCGCCTCAGCTCCTGCCAACCTAGCAATTTGAAAGCCTGCAAATGCAAGTAGATAAATAGGTACCACTTTGGTGGGAAGGTACCAGCGCTCCGTGACATCATCCTGGCCATATGACTGTAGAAACATCTTTGTACAGCGCTGGCTCAATGGCCTTGAAATGGAGATGAGCAGCACCCCCTAGAGCAGTGATGGCGAACCTTTTAGAGACCGAGTGCCCCAAAACCGCCCCGGCCCACCTGCTCTGCTCCGCTCAACCCCCCACCCGCCCGCAGGGCCACCCACTGCCTCCATGGCCCACCACAGATAGCCCAGGCAGCCCTGCAGCACCGTGGTGGCAACATCCTCTGCCCGTACCCCGCAGCATCATCTGCGCACCATGGGGCGCGAGGGCAGAGTCTTGTCCCTGCTGCCCGGCTGCCATGTCCTTAGCTGTGCTGCTTTGTGCGGGCCGCACCCAGGGCCAACTCTCCGGGGGGGCTGCTGCTGAGGAGGGGGCCGCAGGGGGAGGCGGGGCTGGGGTGAGGGCGCCCGTGCCCACAGAGAGGGCTCTGAGGGCCCCCTCTGGCACGCGTGCCATAGGCTCGCCACCACTGCTCTAGAGTCAGTAGTGACTAGCAGAGCAAAATCCGCAGGGACTCTTCTTAATATTATTAATAATAATAATAATAATAAAGTTGGAAGGGACCTTGGAGGTCATCTAGTCCAACCCCCTGCTCAGGCAGGAAATCCTATACCATTTCAGACAAATGGCTGTCCAGTCTCTTCTTAAAAACCTCCAGTGTTGGAGCATTCACCGCTTCTGGAGGCAGGTTGTTCCACTGGTTAATTGTTCTAATTGTCAGGAAGTTTCTCCTTAGTTCTAGGTTGCTTCTCTCCTTGGTTAGTTTCCATCTGTTGCTTGAGATGTTAGGGCTCCAGAGAAGGCATTCAACCCATCTGTTAGGTTGATGTCCTGGCTTTTTTCCAGGACTTCAAGACCACCTGCATGGTACCTCCCGTTTTCCCCACAACAACCCCTTGAAGTAGTTTGGGTTTGTTTATACCAGATGCCCAAGCATTAATTAATTCAGCAATCTAACATGATCCAACATGTAACTGCGGCCTCTTTTTTTTTTTTGCAATTAGTGATGAGGATTAAATGTTGGGAGTGCAAACGGCCTGACTGAGAGGGTCAACACGGAATGGGTACTCAGAATAATAAACCGTAGCCCAAATAAACACGAGATGCGTATTCCAAGCCTCGTGTGTCTATTGCTAAGCAACGGTGTCTTTCTGCTCAAAACCAAGATGTCTTAGAAAAGAAGGAGGAAGGCTGACAGCCTTGGTTGGTATCTGACTCAAGATGTGCTTGGAAATGGCACCTTCCTTTCTCGGAAGGCTTGTCTCAGTTGATGTCTCAGCAATCGGAAAACATCTGTTGGTAAAGTTGAGTGGCACCCTTTCTGATGGTTTCCTTGTGTCCCAAGTAGAACTTTTGAAAACACAAGTATTCCTTGACTCACAACATTTCATTTAGTGACCGTTCAAGGTTACAACAGCACTGAAAAAAAGTGACTAAGGACCGTTTTGTGTTTAGGACGGTTGCATTGTCCTAGCGTCATGGGATCGTCATTTGTAACCTTCCCAGCCGGCTTCTGACCAGCAAAGTCAATGGGGGAAGCCAGATTCACTTAACGACTGCCTGATTGACTTAACGACTGCAGTGATTCGTTTAAGAGCTGTGGAAAAGAAGTTGACAATGGGGCAACCACCGTCTTACTTGGCAGTGAAGTCAAGGATTATCTGTAGTCTTTTTTTAAGTCCATGGAGCAGGCAGACTTTATGTCGCTTGATGGATTCTTTGGGGTATCGTCCGTAATTTGAAGACACCTTTGGATCAGCAAGCAAAAACTCACAGATACTAGACGTGAATCATGTGGAGACCCCCATGAAACTCCCCTGAGATTAAAGAAAGTAGAAGAAAGGCAGAGAATAAAAGAGATGGGTAGAATCAAAGAGATAATGAGATGTCCTTGGAAGATTGGGAAACCAAAATCACCCATGTTCATGACTACTTAGGTCATTGGGAGTCAAATAATGCACCTAACTTAGAAAGACCAATAAAGGGGAGTATTTGTAGCTCAGGGTTGACTTGAGGAGTCCTTGGTGCTCTCTGAACTTGCTTGTTTTCTCACAGACGTTTCATTACCAAACTGGGTAACATCATCAGTGCTAGAAGGGAGGGGAGGAGGAGGAGGAGGACAACTGTGGGTTCCTTGGTGCTCTCTGAGCTTGGTTGTTTTCTTGCAGACATTTCATTACCAAACTAGGTAACATCATCAGTGCTAGAAGGGAGTGGGATTTGTGGAGTGGAAGAGAAGGGAGAAGGAGGAGGGGGAAAAGAAGAGGAAGAGGAAGAGGGGGGGAGAAGGAGGAGGATGACAACTGTGGGGTCCTTGGTGCTCTCTGAGCTTGGTTGTTTTCTCGCAAACATTACCAAACTAGGTAACATCATCAGTGCTAGAAGGGAGTGGGCTTTGTGGAGTGGAAGAGAAGGGAGAAGGAGGAGGAGGAGGAGGAGGAGGAGGAGGAGGAGAAGGATAACGACTGTGGGATTCTTGGTGCTCTCTGAGCTTGCTTGTTTTCTTGCAGACATTTCATTACCCAAAGTAGGTAACATCATCAGTGCTAGAGGGGAATGGTTTTATGGATTGGAAGGGAGGAGGAGGGGGAGGAGGAGGAGGGGGGAGGGGAGGAGGGGGAGGGGAATGACTGGGGGATTCTTGGTGTTCTCTGAGTTTGCTTGTTTCCTTGCAGACCTTTCATTACCCAAACTAGGTAACATCATCGGTGTAGTAGTCACACTGTAGTCTACTACAGTGATGATGTTACCTAGTTTGAGTAATGAAACATCTGCAAGGAAACAAGCTGGCTCAGAGAGCACCAAAGACCCCTTAACTCACAAATCTAGGATTGATAAATTGTTGTCCTTTTGTTTCTAGATGTCAGAATGTCTATTATTGTGGCTCTGATTGCCAACGGTTGAACTGGCCCGTCCACAAAAAATTCTGCAAGAAACTGAAGATGGCAGCTCTTGACCGACTTACAGAATGGCTTGTGTTCACAGGTAGCCTGAGATTTCAGTTGGCCATTGTCCACCTGTGGAGGTTTAGAACTTAGAATATAGAATAATAGGGTTGGATCCCATTTTAGTGGATTGGGCGAAGCCAACCGATTGTGGTTTAGTTAAAAAATGATAGTTAGACACACAAGGGGTTAATGCGTTAGTCAGGAATGCTTCATCTAACATAGAATAATAGGGCTGGAAAGGACCTTGGAGGTCTTCTAGTCCATGCTCAAGCATTCTGGACAAATGGCTGTCCAGTCTCTTTTTGAAAACCTCCACACTTGGAATACTGCATCTAGTTCTGGTCACCACAAAAAAGATGTTGAAACCCTAGGAAGAGTGCAGAGAAGAGTAACAAAAATGCTTAAGGGTCTGGCGTCTAAACCAAAAGATGAACGATGGAGGGAACCAGGTATGTCTGGTCTAACAGAGAAGGACTAGGAGTGGCATGATGGCAGTATTCCAATAACTAAAGGACTGCCACAAAGAAGATGGGATCAACCTATTCTCCAAGGCCCCTGAAGACAGGACAAGAAGCAACGGATGGAAGATCATTAAAGAGAGAGCCAATGTAGAACAAAGGAGAAATTTCCTGACAATGAGAAAAATCAATTAGAGGAACAGCTTACCCTCGGATGTGATCTATTTGAATGCCTCCTCCATTAGAAATGATCCCCAGCAGAAGCCCTAGATACCGGAGAAGTAAAGGTGGCGGCCATAACCATGTGGTTGAAGTTCTAGCCAGGCCTTGACATCATGTGGTTGCAGTCACTTTTTTTTAGCCTTCCTATAGATGCTCTATGCCAGGGGTCTTCAAACTTGGCCCTTTTATGACTTGTGGACTTCAACTCCCAGAATTCCTCAGCCAGGCATGCTGGCTGAGGAATTCTGGGAGTTGGTCCACAAGTCATAAAAGGGCCAAGTTTGAAGACCCCTGATTTATGCAACTGATTTTACAGGTTGGATGTAATGGTCTCATTGGCCTTTTTCAGTTCTAGGAGTCTAAGATTCTTCTAAATCTTCATTATCTCCCTGTAGGTGACATCCCTTTCCACACAAGTGCATGGACAAAAAATATCCGGGACCTACAAGGCTGGGAAGACTGGTTCTTGATGCAGGAACATCTGGATGAAAAGCTTAGCGCTATCAAAGCCGGACATTACATGAGCATCCTCTGGGCCAATGCGGGCAAACCAAAGCCCAATGAGATGGAGTTGACTGAGTCAATCAAGAGGGTGACCACAGACTTTGTCTCCAGGCCAGTCACCATTGGCCTCGGGCTGAGCGTGTTCCATCTGGATCCTTATGCCAAGCCAATCACAGTGCATGTGATTGGAGCTTCTCATGTCGAGACCCTCAACGCCCGGGTGACAGATTACGATGAGCTATCCCAGATGTTTCCGAAGCATCAAGGCATGGAGGTGGTCATGGTGGGGGTGGATGTGGTAGATGGACCCATCATGAGACCTCCACTGGTGGCCTTTGGACCCCGGCAAAGGGTCTACCTCAGCAGCTACAAGGACCTTTATCACAACTTCTGGGAATCACAGGTGGAAACTGAGCAAGCAGCTCGACCAGACTTCGTGGTTGCCTTCCATGCAGGTAGGAAGGTTTAGTGCATTCTTCTTGTGTTCCTGGATTGTCTAGCACAGAGGTCCCCAAACTTTTGGGCACCGGGGACCGGTTCCGTGGAGAGAGGTTTTTCCATGGACCAGAGAGTGTGTGGTTTTGTGTGCTGCCTGCATCCCACGGATGGGGCTTTGCTTGTTTGTGCGGACTGGTTGCTGGTATATCGTGGCCCGGTCCTGGTCCACAGACCGGGGGTTGGGGACCCCTGAATTAGGCAATGCCAGGGCGTTAAACCATCCTTAAATTGCTAGTATTAAGGGCAAATGCAGCCAATAGTTACAATAGCCATGCTTGTAAAGCAGAGGTTCCCAACCTTTTGGGCACCAGGGACCGGTTCCGTGGAGAGGGGTTTTTCCGTGGACCGGAGGGTGCGTGGTTTTGTGTGCTGCCTGCATTTCATGGATAGGGCTTAGCTTGTTTGTGTGGACCAGTTGCTGGCATGCTGTGTCCCGGTACCAGTCCACCGACCGGGGGTTGGGGACCTCTAGTCTAGCACCATGAGATTCAAAGCAATGTCATGTTAAACTAGAACCAGGGAGGCCCAAAAGCTCAGTACAACCAGAGGACACCACGATGGGAAAAGCTGGCTTAGCCAAAGCCTCAGATCCTGTAGGAAGCATAAGGTTGAGGTCCAGCAAAGCAATGACCCAGAAAATTTGAAAACATAAGGCAGCTGTTTTGGGGCAATTCATTCATCTTGTTTTAATTGGCTGCTTTTTAAAAGGTGGCTTAGTACGGTCTTGAAACCTGACAAGCGTCATTAATTTATGCTTCAACAGCGTGTGCCAGGTGGATTAATTCATTAGGCATCCGGCCAAACACCGCTGCTAATTTTCATTCCTAAATTTGCTGCTCTTAGAATTCTGTTGTTTGGTGTCAGGTATCCACTCTTTGCTTTATACTCAAAACAAGTGTCTTTCTCCCCTTCCAGATTTGTGGACCAACTCCCAGACGTGTGGATTTCAACTCCCAGAATCCCCCAGCCAGCATGGCTGGCTGGGAGATTCTGGGAGTTGAAGTCCACATGTCCTAAAGTTGTCAAAGTTGAGAAACACTGACTGTAATACTTGTAATAAAAAAGTCTGAGTTTTGATTGCACCATCCCAACTGCCATTTTGACTTCTTTGACCACATCCTGCCCACCCTTTCCTTCTAACCTTACAAAAAAATCCAGTTGAAAGAGTAAAATTCACACCAGGCACATATTAATTCCAATAGGACTTCTGTTTATTGAGGAAATCCAGGTCTGGCAGTAATCTTATGAAATCTGCCTCGGTATGTGTGTCTGAGCATACTAAAAAGCAGAGACATCACCCTGCCAACAAAAGTGCGTACAGTCAAGGCCATGGTTTTCCCAGTTGCAATGTATGGCTGTGAAAGTTGGACCATAAGAAAGGCTGAGCGCCAAAGAATGGAGGCCTTTGAACTCTGGTGCTGGAGAAGACTCCTGCCAGTCCCCTGGACTGCAAGGCAATCAAACCGGTCAGTCTTAGAAGAGATCAACCCTGACTACTCTTTAGAAGGCCAGATCCTGAAGCTGAAACTCAAGTACTTTGGCCACCTAATGAGAAGGAAGGACTCACTGGAGAAAAGCCTGATGCTGGGAAAGATGGAGGGCAATAGAAGAAGGGGACGACAGAGAAGGAGGTGGCTGGATGGAGTCACTGAAGCAGTAGGCGTGAGCTTGAAGGGACTCCAGAAGATGGTAGAGGACAGGAAGGCCTGGAGGAATGTTGTCCATGGGGTCGCGATGGGTCAGACACGACTTCGCAACTAACAACAACAATGTGTGTCTGTCTCAAGCTGGCACCCGATTCTTGTGAGCCCAAGAAAAAGGAGGAGAGCTCAAGAAAAACCCGGTGCTGCCATTCAGATCAGTTCTAAATCAGTCTCTGAGCTATGAGCAATGGAATTCCAGAAGAGATTAGCAGCTTATCTGTAGGAGAAGAATTCCAGCAGACAGACAGGTTTAGGTCACTGCAGGTTAGAACTATGTTCTCTTGGAAAGGGTTTGTCTACACCCAGCTCACTGGGAGAAAAACAATTTTCGCCCATTGCTGCATTTGGCTGCCATTTGCCGTCCTTGCTAGGAAGGCTGGAAACTGTCCAATTCAAAGGATCAGGATCGTATGTTAAGTTGCAGTTCATGAGATTTATTGCTCAAACCTATTCACAAGAATCTGATCAACTAAAGTTCAGTACTAACTTGGTGCCAACTAGTCCATTATGCAACATAATGATTCTAGGCTGATGACATACTTAACTCTACCTCCCCTGGCTTTGCCTGCTCTTCTGCAGAAACTGCTCAAGTACATGTTTTGATCCTCTCCGGTCTGAAATGCATCGTAGGAGGAGAGCTGTGTTAATCTATGGCAGTGTTTCTCAACCTTGGCAACTTTTAAGATGTGTGGACCAACTCCCACAATTCCACAGCCAGCCATGAAGGATCGCCAAGGTTGAGAAACATGGAATCAGGAGGAGTCTACAGGTAATTTATGAGTATAATGGAGTCTTTCCGTCATGGTCATAAGTTGTGATGATTGTAAAATAGGTCACTTATGTGACCGATGTGATTTCAGGATCTTTTTTTTTTTGGTCATTAAGCGAATGCTGAGGCCATTAAGCAAACCAATGGCTTGTTGTGTTTGTGGTTTGGCTGAAAGCCAGAAATAAATGTCAGTTTTTGGTAAAGCCATCATAAAATGTCACGTGACTGCAGGTTGCTCCAAATGGCGTAAATGCAGCTGTATTGCCAAGCACCTGACTGTGGGAAGCAATGGGCATCCCGCCCATTGGAGCTTCACAAGAGTCTACCTCAGGGGTCTTCAAACTTGGTTCTTTTATGACTTGTGGACTTCAACTCCCAGAATTCCTCAGTCAGACATGCTGGCTCAGGAATTCTGGGAGTTGAAGTCCACAAATCATGAAGGGGCCATAGTTCCCCCACGCTGGCTGAGGAATTCTGGGAGTTGAAGTCCACAAGTCATGAAAGGGCCATAGTTCCCCCACGCTGGCTGAGGAATTCTGGGAGTTGAAGTCCACAAGTTATTAAGGGCCAGGTTTGAAGACTCCTGGTCTATCCTAAAGGTCTCTCTCTTCCCTAAAAACTTCAATGGAAAACGGAAAACTACCCAGAAGTGGATAGCTTCTTTTGATGGAAGCCCAGCTCTTAAAGGGCAGGATGTGTTCCTTGTGCAGGCTTCATCTGCCAAGCATCAATCAACCTGCCCTGGGGGACAGAATGATACTGAACAGTCTGGGAAGCTAGCTATTGAAAGATATATTAGCTACATTCACACATTCCCCCCAAAGCCTTATTATGAGCTTTGTTTGATTTGGGCTTAGTGCAATATATGAGCCAGGCCACTCGCAGCTTAGTCAGCTATTTGGGATGGAGCAAGCCATGGCTTACCAGAAGGTGCAAACCTAGGCAACATGCTTACCAGGATTTGTAGTCCTTCTCAGCAGTATCACCTGTTAATTGGTCTGATTCCCTTTCCAAAGGAAGCTAAGCTTGCAGATATATTTAGCCACCCAGCAGTCTGGAAGTTCTCACAAGCTTGCTGTGATGCCTCCGATTTTTGCACTTGTAGACACCTAGAAGGAGATGCAGCTTGTCAGCAACATTTCCTGTAAGGTGGCCTTTAAGCCTTTTGCCATAAGAGATCCTTAGTCCCAGCCAATAATGTGAGATATGCAACAGGTGCTCTCACCAAGAGGAGCTCCTGATTCCAGAATGTCTCAGCAGAATATCTGGTGGACCTCAACTCAACTTGGGAGGTCTGCCTTATCGGAGGTTGGGCTGTTGCCAACCAGCTGTTTGCTGTCTATCAGCGTGGTGGGATTAAGGCCCAAAGAGTCAGGATTAAGAGGGATGCTATCAATCTCTGAAATACGGATGAGGCTAATCAGCTTGCTAACAGAGTAGTCACTAACTACTGAAGCCAGGCAGCTCAAGGTGGTACGAAGCACTTGAAGGCGGCCCTCAGTTGTTTCAATTAACTGAGGTTGTGTAGTGGGGATAGTCCTTCTCACACCAGATGTTCCTGGTTACTTCCCAGCTCTTCTGCCAGACTTCGGTCCATGAAGTGTGGTTGGTTGGTTGGTTGGCTGGCTGGCTGGGGATGCTACCTGTAGAGTTGCTCTTCCATTCTTAGTGCTCTGCAAGATAGGGGTGTTTCAACTTTTGTAGTCCTTTGCAAGTGGAAGACCTGGACATCAGGTAGAATTGCTCAAGGACGTCTGATAGAAACCATAATGAATGCCACGTGCAACCATTGCTTAGGTGATGATATCACACTATGCATGACATCACTTCCCCTTCCCCTTACAGATGTCCATGGTTAACGCCCAATAGATTTGGGGAGGGGACTGGTTCAGGCAGTTTGCATCACAAATGTGTTGAGTTGCAACCCTTTACATCCTCAGTTACAATGGCTATGCTAGTTGAGGATAATCATAATTGCCCAGAAACAGGTATTTGAGATAGTTAACTATATGATCTAGTGGAGAGTAGGTGGGCACATCTAGAGATATGACTTTTGTTCTAATCTCTTTCCAGCCATTAGGAACAAAGAAATGGGACAGCTGGCTTATTACTTCTAAGATTCTCACCTAAACCTCTTGGAAAAGGATGATAAAATAGAATGACAGAGTTGGAAGGGACCTTGGAGATTTTCTAGTCCAATCCTCTGCTCAAACAGGAGACCCTATACCATTCCGGTCAAGTGGCAGTCCAGACTCTTTTTAAAAACTTCCAGTGATGGAGCACCCACAACTTCTGGAGGCAAGTCGTTGCACTGGTTAGTTGTTCTAACTGTCAGGAAGTTTCTCCTTAGTTCTAAGTTGCTTCTCTCCTTGATTAGTTTCCACCCATTGCTTCTTGTCCTGCCTTCAGGCGCTTTGGAAAATAGCTTAACTCCCTCTTCTTTGTGGCAACCCCTGAGATATTGGAAGACTGCTATCATGTCCCCCCTCATCCTTCTTTTCTTTCAATTAGATTGGTATGGCAAAGGTGGCTTTATAGAAACTCCACACCTCTGAATGACAGTTTCTACAGGACAATAGTAAGGGGAGATGGTGCGCAAGGAACAGATGCTGAGACTGGGGGACCTTAATGCCTTGTAGAGTTGTGGGGTGCCTGTGTGAGAGAGGAGGCTTTGGTAAGGTTCACAATGAGTAAAGGGGAAGGTTCAATTCCCACATCTCCTCCTCCTCCTCCTCCTCCTCCTCCTCCTCCTCGGGTGTTGAGGGAGATACAAAGTTCTGGCTTTTGGAGGTGTTAACCATTGTTAATTGATGTTGTTGTACTATGTCTTTCGACGTTGTTTCTCCATCTTCTTCTGGGTCTGCCTTGTGGTCTTCCACCTTCTCCTCTTTACATTAGAATGAAATTCTCATGAGATACAAATGCCCCCATGCTCAGTGGTCCAAAAGACAGATTTGAACCCAGGCTACACAAGGTTGACAGACAAAGCTGATCAGGAACGGCTCCCTCTTTCGCTGTTTCAGAGCATTGGTTTCCCAAGGCTGGTGGTGACCCGCTCTTCGAGTCTCTCCCTGATCCATCTGCCCATCAGCAGCCATTGCTAAGACACTTTCCCGAGGCCTAAAAGACAACCTGGTCAACTTCAGCTATTTAGTCATTCTGCAGAGTATCTCTGTCTCCCTTGAATTCTCTGGCACAGCAGGGACGTTTCTTTCCAGGAACAAGGTGTACTTTTGATCGTCTCTTTCGGCAACATTCCATTGCCGTGAAGCCCTCCAGGCAGCAGAAGGCCTTTCTAAATATACAACTGCCTTGTCACATCCATCAAACTTCCAGAATGCCGGAGAAGCTTTAGCAAACCGGCCCCAGGTTTCCTATCCGCCTAGCCTAGTTGTATTTAAACCCAGATTTTTGGATTCTTATTGTAAAAAAATCAATAAAACTTAAACAAAACAAAACCCAGAGTTTGGAGCTCACCGTTGGTCGCATTCAGCAGCTGTAAAGTGCAAGAGTGTTCCAACAGCTGTACAAGCAGCTAGATTCTTACTCTTCTCCTAGATGTGTTCCACACATTGTCGCCTTCAGAGCCAGGCTGAGATTGAAATGTGCGACCGGACAGAAATTCTCATCGCCTTTCCAAAGTCAGCAAGGCAGAGATTCCAGCCTCATGTTCCGTCATACCTTACAAGGCTGGCCTTTTGCTCGGGCAAAAGGGAGAAATCTTTTCCCATTGTGTCACCAGGCTGAATTTCAGGGGTGGGCATGTATGGAGAATCCAGTTCGATGGTCAGCTGTGCCCTTGTCTCAAATCCCAACTGTCAAAGAACCAATAAGGTGATAAAAAGCCAAAGGGGTCGCTGAACGGCCAGACATAAGAAGACATCTAAACGACCTGACTAAAAAGGAACCAGGCTTTGAACGACCACACCAGTAAGGGACAACCCTGAGTAAGATTTGCACCTCTCCCAGTGTAGCCAGGACACCCTGTATAAATGGGGCATAGTACCCTCCCCTCAGTGGGACTGCGGGGGTCCCACCTCAAACTGTAGATCACATTGTGACCAAATGTAAGCTGAGGGCATCTACCGGTCCAGTATCTGATTTTTTTTAATATAAATGATGCTGTGTTTCAATGTTTAGATGGTCTAGACCAGAGGTCTGCAAGCGGGAGAACTTTAAGACTTGTGGACTTCAGCTCCCAGAATTCCTCAGCCACCATATTGCAAAAAAGATGTTGAGACTCTGGAAAAAGCGCAGAGAAGAACAACCAAGATGATTAGGGGACTGGAGGCTAAAACATATGAGGAACGGTTGTAGGAATTGCGTATGTCTAGTTTAACGAAAAGAAGGACTAGGGGTGACATGATAGCAGTGTTCCAGTATTTGAGGGGCTGCCACAAAGAAGAGGGGGGTCAATCTATTTTCCAAAGCACCAGAAGACAAGACAATAAGCAAACTAATCAAGGAGAGAAGCAACCTGGAACTAAGGAGAAATTTCCTGACAGGGATAACAATTAACCAGTGGAACGAGTTGCCTCCAGAAGTTGTGAGTGCTCCAACGCTGGAAGTTTTTAAGAAGAGACTGGACAGCCATTTGTCTGAAATGGTACAGGGTTTCCTGCCTGAGCAGGGGGTTGGACTAGATGACCTCCAAGATCCCTTCCAATTCTGTTATTCTGTTAATGTAAGTGGTGACAGTCTCTTTCACTGTTTTTCCAACTTAGCAACTTTGAGATGGGTGGAGTTCAACTCCCAAAATTCTCCAGCCGTTACCAAAGTGAACATAAAATAAACATACCAATTAAATCCAGAAACCATAAACAGAAACTTTTCCTGGCACGGCATCCTTGAGGTGTGAGGACTTCAGTGCCCATAATTCTTAGCCAGCCTAGCTCATCCACCTAGAGGGCTTTACAGAAGAAGCCCATGCTTTATCTCCTCTCATTTTTCAGGGTTTCATGCCTGCCCTGATCTGATGGCAAGTTGGCTTCCCACGTTGCTGCTCCTGCGAGATTACAAGATCCCTTCTTTATTCACTATGTACAGGTAACACTCTCCTTCCAGGTCATGATCGGTTGGGATCTGCACCATGATTCAACCAGAAGAAACTCATACCTTGGTCCACCATGGGAGAAACGCGGGGCAGCCTGCAGAATCCATGAGCTTCTGAAGCCAGTGGTCAGAGTACAGGGTTCATCTAAGAAAGGGCTGTCCAATCTTGGCAATTTTAAGACTTGTGGACTTCAACTCCCAGAAATCCCCAGCCCAGCTGGAATTCTGGGAGTTGAAGTCCACAGACTGGACATTCCTGATCTAAGAGATGTCTTCTCAGACGGCCATGGAATCTGTGGGGTATTGGGTCTTTCTTTTCATCTACTCCCTGGTTGTTGTTGTCGTTTGATCCCACCAGAGGTTGATCCTAGACCTTCTGCATTATAATGTTCTGGGTTGCAGGATTGTGGGCAGAAGATCAACAACAACAACAACAACTGCAGAGTAATAACTAGTGAACAAACAACCAAGGGTGACCTTGGATTGTGCTATAAGGCTACAGCCTAATTCCAAGTGAAATTGGAGCAATTTGTGTTTGTCGAGCCAGTAACTAATCCTTTCCTTATTTTCTTCTTTTAGTGAACAGGAGCTGAAACATTCCCTCAGAATCTTGATGGAGCTGGAGACCCAGATCATAAGCTGTGGGGCCAACCCCTTCGCCTCCCTCAAACCGGAACAGGCCCATTCAAACCCTAACAAGCCACCTGTCTATGCCAACTCCCACTACCTTATGTTTCATGGTCTAGGAGGTGGTCCTCCAGAGGAACATGACATAGGAGAACTGGATGGGGGACAAGAAGAGAGATCTCAGCAAGCTTAGAGCTCCACAACCTAACTAGCAGTGGTAGCTTCACATCTCTCAGTTTGTCAGGCAACAAGCTAAGATCTCAGGAACGCAGGCATCTGGGCGATAGCGAAGGCTGCCTTTCTGTTTGCAACTAAAGATCCCGGGCGATTATTAGCAGCTGCTTAGTCTAGTCCTATCTGCTAATAGACAAAGCATGTTGGCTCCCAATATCTTCTGGGCAAACGTCTCCCAATTTAAAATATGTAAATCAGCTGTCTCCCGACTTGGGACCTCCCAGATGTGTTGAAGTTAGGAGTTCTGAAATTCCCAGCCAAAGGCAATGCCAGCTTGGGGTTCTGGGAGCTGTTACATCCAGCATATTTGGAGGACTCCAAGTTGAATATAAGGGCTAGTTTGGTGTAATGGTTAAAGGCATGGATTGGAAGCAGGGGGATTAAATTCTAGTCCTGTTTTAGGCATGAAAGTCAGACTAAAAGAGTTGGAGGGGTCCTTAGAGGTCTTCTAGTCCAACCCTGTTCAAATAGGAGACCCTATACCATTTCGGACAAATGGCTGTCCAGTCTCTTCTTAAAAACTTCCAGTATTGGAGCATTCACCGCTTCTGGAGGTAGGTTGTTCCACTGGTTAATTGTTCTCACTGTTAGGAAGTTTCTCCTTAGTTCTAGGTTGCTTCTCTCCTTGATTAGTTTCCATCCATTGCTTCTTTGTCCTGCCTTCAGGGGCTTTGGAGAATAAGTTGACCCATTCTTCTTTGTGGTAACCCCTCAGAGTTAACATTTGGGGCCAGATATTCTCTCACCCCTAGAAAGGGTTTACTAGCAAACCTGGGCAATGTAAAAATTTAATAAAACAAAAAGCACATCTGAAAATTGTTAATTTTAATTGTTGTTCACTGCTCAGAGTCATCTGCTTAATGGGTGGCTGTGTGAATCAACATACAGACATGATAAGTCTCATTCACTGGAATCTTGCTCATCTTTGTTTGGGAACACAATTGCTTGTGATTTTCCCTCTGCCTCCAAAATGGCTGCATGTCTAATGAATAATGGGCAAAATTTCAAATTAAGCATCAGATTACATACTCCCACTTTTCATTTTCTGTGAATGCCTACAGGACCCAGGGGAGGCGGGAAGCAATTTTGTAAATAAAGTTGATGCTAAAGGTTAATGCTATGCTGGACCTGCTTCCTACTAACAAATTAAATTCCCATTTTATTAAATCCTAATTGAAATTATCCTTAGAAAAATGTCTGAAGAGCATATTTGTGTGTGCTCTGGAGCTCATGATCACTATATTGCTTACTCCAAATTAAAAAAAAACCATCGCTAGAGAAGATATGTTCTTCTCCTCGATAGCTAGCATAGATAAACAAAATAGTTCTACAAACTCCAGAGCTTGCTTGCAAAGCTCTAAGGCAGGGGTCTTCAAACTTGGCCCTTTTATGACTTGTGGACTTCAACTCCCAGAATTTCCCAGCCAGGCATGCTGGCTGAGGAATTCTGGGAGTTGAAGTCCACAAGTCATAAAAGGGCCAAGTTTGAAGACCCCTGCTCTAAGGATTCACAGAAGTTGTCTGTCCTTTGCACGCAAAAACATGTTGTAGGTCTTTCTCCCATCTGTTTTGTCACTGACCAGCCCTATATAATCCTACATTTCAGTGACCATCATGAACTCTTGGTCCAAGAATTTCCAGAATGTTAGCTTTGGGTTGAATTGCCTTCAAGATCCCAAGTCAAATTGCCGACGTTATCAAGAACAAGTTAGCAACTTTTAGATGGACGGTCTTCAACGTCCAGAATTCTGAATTCTTCCAGATGCCTGCTGGCTGGAGAATTCTGAGAACTGAAGTCAATATATTTTGAAGTTGTTAAAGTTGAGACACACTGGAATACTGGATTAGCAGCTAGTCAAGGCCAGGGGTGGGCAATTAATTTTCACCAAGGGCCTGCATGAAAAACTGGGACTGTTGTGGAGGGCCACTACTGCAGGCCAGACAGGGACAGACAAAGGACTGGATGTGGCCCATGAGCCATAAAATGCCCAGGTCTTGTCTAGATGTTAGAACTCAGGGGACTCAGGTCAAAATTACCTAGAACCCTAAAGAAAGCTCAGATTCAGAAGCTCCATTTGGCCATGCCAATTCCCAGGGACTGTCAAGGACCCCCTCTCACAGCATCCAATGTACTAGGTGATAATCAGCTGTTTACCCACCATATGCTGGACTTTGGTTGCTTGGGCTAAGCAAAAAGCTGAAGAAAGCTACACAATGGCTCTAGAGAATGATCCCTATTGTTTGTGAGCTCTGAAGATAAATGAGAAGATAGTGACTCGATGGTATATGAAGAAGAGGAGAGAGATCAGTCAAGCAGTTGTTTGCTAATGCCATGTGCCCTCCACGGGTGTTTCAAAACAATTCAACAATCACATGACAGCTTTCCATCAGAAGCGGCCTTTATCACCCCAGTTAAAAAAAATAAAATAAAAGCAGAACCATACAGAACACTTGCCACACAGTTCACAAAATATTTACAGGGTTTTTCTTCCTGCCTCTCTTCTCTCCTTCCGGGGAGAAAATACAAGTTCATTCTTAGCCATGTCTTACGGAGAAGAGGCTACCAATGGTTGTTAAGAACAGTCTCTTGATTCTTCTGCGTTGATATTTGGGTTCTTCAAAACTTGGAAGCGCGCAGTTTTGAAAGGGTTGAATAGTTACTCTCCCAAATCTGCATGTAAGGGGCTTGAGATGGGGGTTCGTGGTGTAGCATCCACCTGGTGGTCAACGGAACAGGTATGGACAACCCAAAATGCCTCCAACAGATACTATAGCAGATGCAGACTCCATATCTACCTCAACTTTGCTTTCCTCCTGGATGGACAGTGGAATCCAGAAACTTACACGAGAGCAACTTCAGACACCAAGCTCTTGCTTCTCAGTTGGATTATTCAACTGTGCAAACTTTTGTCTGCTTGCCTCTAGAATCCATCCATATTTTTATGGACTGAAGATACAACTTCTCAACTTTGCTTACAGGGGAGAGAAGAGGAAGAGAACACAAACCCACCAACATAAACATGGAATCAATGCTTAAGCAGAGGAAGGGAAGGCAGGACTGTCCCTGCACAACAGTGCAAATACAAATTGTGCTTGTACAAAGACTGGAAAGGCCAGTGTTCAAGGAATTGGTGACCCCACTTAGCAGAGGTTCCTTTCCCAGTAAGGGCAGTTAGTGATGGTGGGAAAGATGGCCACAAGGCATTATACTTTGATCCCACGGATGGACCTCCAGAAGGAACCTTTGCTGTGAGAAAATCCCCAGCCATAAAGAGGCCATCAGTTGTCATGGGAATAAAGCTGATGGTTCAAATTGCCAAAGACTCAAGAGCAGGGGTCTTCAAACTTGGCCCTTTTATGACTTGTGGACTTCAACTCCCAGAATTCCTCAGCCAGGCACGCTGGCTGAGGAATTCTAGAAGTTGAAGTCCACAAGTCATAAAAGGGCCAAGTTTGAAGACCCCCGCTCAAGAGGATGCATTTATAGGCCTGTATGGTATTGGAGAAGTCTCCAATAGACCCAAGAGAATCCCACAAATTTAAGACACCTTAAGTTGAAGATCTGGCTGTTGGGATTCTCAGGATCCACCTGAGAACTGGTAGTTAGCAAAGAATGACTTGAGTCCATGCTGCAGAATGACCGGGAGAATCCTGCTTTTACTGCATTCTGAATCATTTTGGGACTACATCCCATTGGTCAATGGGTTTCAGATGTTGGATGCCATTCTTTTACCTGTGGCAGTTATTGGCAGACAGCAATATCCCTTAGACTTATATACTGCTTCATGGTGCTTCACAGCCCTCCCTAAGTGGTTTACAGAGTCATATTGGCCCCAACTATCTGGGTCCTCATTTTACCGACCTTGGAAGGATGGAAGGATGAGTCAACTTTGAGCTCCATCAGAATTGAACTCCGTGCTGTGGGCAGAGCTTGCCTGCAATACTGCATTCTAACCACTGCACCAACAGGGCTCTTAATGGCAACGTGCAGTTGACCAACAGGCAAAGAGAATTTAACATAGGGTTTTTTGCCTGCTTGAAACAGCAGGAAAGCGTGTAGCCAAGTGGCTTGCCAGCGTACAATTAGCAAAGGAGAGCAAAAAATGCCTTTTACCTTTGCTTTGCTTTAAAATGGGGGCAGATGAAAGGTAAATCCTTGGGGCCCACAAAACAGCCAGACTGAAGAAGTAATGGTTGGGACAGCCCATCTTCCTTTGACGTCCCCCTTTTCTTTGACAATTTTCTCTTGTCTTGCAAACTGTAGGCTTCAACAAGGAGGCAGGGCATCCTTCCCAGAAGTCTCACCCAATCTCTTTTGCACCCAGGCCATGAACTTCGACTGAAATCCTGGGATGCTTCAGAAAACAATTTCACAGGGCCGGTGCAAGAAGGCTATTCTGAACTATGACCGTTAAAGACGGTTTATCAGAGCCATCTCTGTAAGTTTAACACAGCCTTTAGCATCTGGATTATTTGCACTCTCTCTAGATGTGGATATAACCCAAATGTGGGCACACACACATAACTTAACAATGGCCTTTGCTCAAAGGAGGCTAGAAAATGTGATGTGATGGGGAGTTAGCCTCCCCTCACCATAGATGGATTTCCAGGGTGGATTTCCTGGCATGGGATTTATACTGACCAGCTTTCCATCTGCAACAGAACAATGCCCAATGTTTTCCTCCCCACGCGCAGAGGGAGGAGACCCCAATTCATGTTGGTTGAGCCATGTAGGCTAGAAGGCCAAGCAATGGTCCAGGTATGCCCCCGCCCTCCGCCCCGGAAACCCTTTTGGTCCAAGTTAGCAAAGACAAGGCCAGGAATGTAATAATGAAGGAGCTAGGGAATAGATCAGAAGGCTTAAAGATGGTCCCAAGATCTGGGGACCCTCCCAAGTTCTCCCAAGGCATCCACACAATTTAAAAATGGATGAACTCCATCAACTGGAGTTCCCTCCGCTGCCTTGCTGGATTACAAGGCAAAGTGTGGAATTAAAGAACATTTTTTAAAAAAATAAAACAAAAAAAAAACATTAGGGACGCCGGACCCTCTTCCGTGGAAATGAATTAGGGAGCTCCTTTGCAAGGATGGGGACTCTGAACGTGAGGCAGTGGTTACTCCAGGTTGGAACGTTCTCGCAGGACTGGCAGTGAGAGCATTTCTGGGGCGGATTTTTTCCGCTGGCGGTCCTTGGGCACGTGGAGGAACTCCGGGGCTTCTCCGCTGAGCGGCGTGGAGGGGGCACTGGAGGGGGCGCTCTGAGTGCTGGGGGGCAGGTGGACTTCACTGATGGAGATAGTGGGTGTCACGATGCCCACAATCTCATTGGTGGCCTGCTGGGTCTCCTTCTCGTATAAGCGGACTTCATCCATGGTCATGCCTATGGGGAGGAAGCACAGAAGAAGACATTGTGAGGACAGATGCATCACTATAGACCCAGAGAAGATGACCCAGCTAGGGTTGGCTCCAAAATTTAGAATAGTATAGAATAGAATAGAATAGAAGACAGGATATAGAATAGAATAGAATAGAATAGAATAGAATAGAATAGAATAGAATAGAATAGAATAGAATAGAATAGAAGAGAAGAGAAGAGAAGACAGGATATAGAATAGAATAGAATAGAGTAGAGTAGAGTAGAGTAGAGTAGAGTAGAGTAGAGTAGAGTAGAGTAGAGTAGAGTAGAGAAGACAGGATATAGAATAGAATAGAATAGAATAGAATAGAATAGAAGAGAAGAGAAGAGAAGAGAAGAGAAGAGAAGAGAAGAGAAGATATAGAAGAGAAGAGAAGATATAGAAGAGAAGAGAAGACAGGATATAGCATAGCATAGCATAGCATAGCATAGCATAGAATAGAAGACAGGATAGAATAGAATAGAATAGAATAGAATAGAATAGAATAGAATAGAATAGAATAGAATAGAATAGAATAGAATAGAATAGAAGACAGGATATAGAATAGAATAGAATAGAATAGAAGAGAAGAGAAGAGAAGAGAAGAGAAGAGAAGAGAATAGAATAGAAGAGAAGAGAAGAGAAGAGAAGAGAAGAGAAGAGAAGAGAAGAGAAGACAGGATATAGAATAGAATAGAATAGAGTAGAGTAGAGTAGAGTAGAGTAGAGTAGAGTAGAGAAGACAGGATATAGAATAGAATAGAATAGAATAGAATAGAAGAGAAGAGAAGAGAAGAGAAGAGAAGATATAGAAGAGAAGAGAAGATATAGAAGAGAAGAGAAGACAGGATATAGCATAGCATAGCATAGCATAGCATAGCATAGCATAGCATAGCATAGCATAGCATAGCATAGCATAGCATAGCATAGCATAGCATAGCATAGCATAGCATAGAATAGAAGACAGGATAGAATAGAATAGAATAGAATAGAAGAGAAGAGAAGAGAAGAGAAGAGAAGAGAAGAGAAGAGAAGAGAAGAGAATAGAGGATATAGAATAGAAGAGAATAGAATAGAACAGGAAGGGACCTTGGAGGCCTTCTAGTCCAACCCCCAATGTCTTCTTAAAAATTTCCAATGTGGGATGCTTGGCAACTGATTCATATTTATGTCCTTTGCTGTGTCCCAGGGGTCACCCGATCCCCTTTTGCGAACTTCCGACAAACAAAGTCAATGGGGAAGGCGGATTCACTTAACTGATTCCCTTAACAACCGAGGCAAGAAAGGTCGTAAAATGGGGCAAAATTCTCTTAACGACTATCTTGTTTGGCATTCCGAAATTTTGGGCTGAATTGTGGTCATACGTTGAGGAGTATTGCTATCATGCAAAAGTAAAAAAGTTCAGGCTGTATGCTATTAACTTATTCTATTTTGCTCAAAAGAGTCAACAGTCAATGCTTTTTCTTTCTTTTCCCTTTTACCCTAGACTTTTCCCTCTTCCCTTTCCCCTCCCCTACTTTCTCATTACTTTCATTTTTCTTTTTGTATTTGGATAAACTAATAACATTTTGAAAAAAAAAAAACCCAAGAGTCAAGGCAATGATTCAACCCTTCAAAAATAAGAAGAGGATCCGACTTATTATTAGATCACGGAAGTGAGAAGTGGAGATACCAGAATATCAATCTGGATTTCACTCTAGAGATAGAGCTTGCATTTGAATAACCCCTCATTAAAATACTTTTTCAATCTGTCCTATCATGTTATTAATGATGCCAAGAAGCCTTGATATCTAATCAGGTGACTGAGACAAAGTTTAATATTGTTTGAGATCTATATTCTCTCGAATTACATACCTATTATGCGGAAACTGATGGCTGGAGAACGAAAATCAGTTTTCCGCGCCCTTCATATTGTTAAGAGCCTTTGGCATTAGGTAAAAATAAATTTATGGGCCCCCTTGCTCAGTGGATTAAAATTTTGGAATTACAAGTGATTTAAAAACAAATTGCTCATAAACGTAGAGCAGGTACAATTACAATGAGAGACAATCATCTTCTGTTAAAACTTATCTACTTTCCCTGGAGGGGTTTATGCTGAAAATGCTGATTTTATGCTGCTGCATTTTCAATGACGTTTTCGCATTTTATGCTGTAAGCCGTCTCAAGAATAACTTTGCTAGCCTGCTTAATGTAATGCATGAAATCTCATGTGTAGCAGGCTAGATTAAATCTATTTATTCAGCACATACTGTGTAATTACATAATGCTTTGAGGATGGTGAAGCTGTTTCACCCATCCTGGGCTACCCTTCTTCGTAATTTCTAACAGTGAAAGATGTGGGAGGTAATTCAGATCAACAGAAAGAATAAATGCATCTCCAAAAAAGGAGATGATATCTAAAGATATAAAAGTGAAACCTTTCAAGATGTTCAAGTCAAAATCATGCAATTAGGGATGTGTAAAATGGTTCTTGAATCACCCGTTCCCTCCAGATTGGTTGGTTTTAATCAAAATATGCATATTTGGGCCAAGGAATAAAACACTGCCTTATTAAGGATATGGACTCAAATAAGGCTGTTCCAGAAATATGTGTTTTGGGAGGGAGGGTATGTGAGTAGGGATAAATGGAAGCAAGCCAAGGACATTTGTTTTGTTGCTTTGGATAGTCTGATGGGTGACATATAAATTTAATTATCAAGCTAGAAAGCAGGTGACAGGGAGTTCTAGTCCTGCCTTAGAGATGAAAGCCAGCTGAGTGACTTTGGGCCAATCACCAGGAGACTGTGAGTTCTAGTCCCACCTTAGCCATGATAGCCAGATGAGTGACTTTGGGCCAATCACTAGGAGAGAATGAGTTCAAGTCCTGCCTTAGCCATGAAAGCCAGCTTAGTGACTTTGGGCCAATCACCAGGAGACAATGAGTTCTAGTCCCACCTTAGCTATGAAAGCCAGCTTAGTGACTTTGGGCCAATCCCAGGAGATGGTGAGTTCTAGTCCTACCTTAGCCATGAAAGCCAGATGAATGATTTTGGGCCAATCACCAGGAGATGGTGAGTTCTAGTCCCGCCTTAGCCATGAAGGCCAGCTGGGTGACTTTGGGTCAGTCCCTCTCTCTCAGCCCAACCCACCTCACAGGATTGTCTGTTGTTGTGGGGGAAAAGGCAGGATACAAATAAAAATTAATAAACATTGGCAGTGGCCAAATGAACTGGAGAGGAAGAGGATGACACCCACTAACCATACCTTACTCACCCCATAAACTCACCCTTTTGATTTCTGCGTGTTTTGTTTCACTTGAAATCAAGAGTAACCATGTTCTAGGTTTTGTTTTGGCTACACCAGAGCCCATCCCTCTCTTTATTTGGGGGATCAAAGTGAACATTTACCATGCCTTGAGTAACCCTATTTACCCAAACAATAGTTTATCCCTTTCAACAAAAAGTTTGAGAAGGTTAGCAATTCAACCGAACGTAGAGTGCAGAGAAGAGCAACAAAGATGATTGGGGGGCTAAAACATATGAAGAATAGTTGCAGGAATTGGGTATGTTTAGTCTATTAAAAAGAACAACTGGGTGACATGATAGCAGTGTTCCAGTATCTCAGGGGCTGCCCCAAAGAAGAGGGAGTCAAGTCAAGCTATTCTCCAAAGCGCCTGAAGGCAGGACAAGAAGCAATGGGTGGAAACTAATCAAGGAGAGAAGCAATCTAGAACTAAGGAGAAACTTCCTGACAGTAAGAACAATCAACCAATGGAACAACTTATGAGTGCTCCATCACTGAAGGTTTTAAGAAGGGACTGGATGACCATTTGTCAAAAATGGGATAGGGTCTCCTGCTTGAGTGGGGGGGGTTGGACTGGAAGACCTCCAAGGCCCCTTCCAACTCTGTTATTCTGTATTCTGTATCCGCTTGGTCTTTTCCCAGCTTGATGAAGCGTGATTTGTGAACCCAGCCAATAAGAGGGCTGAGTTCATTTTTCCCCCCTCTCCCTGATCATGCTGTTTTATGTGGGAACACCAACTTCTGAATCAGACTGGAGACTTATCCCAGATCCATCAGCCCCGCGCTTAAAAACTTAATCAGAGCTTTCTCCTGCGTGACAAAACTCTGTCAACCAGCAGGAGTTGTCAACTTGAAGCCAACCAAGGAAAAATCTTGCTAAGACGGGAGAGAGCCATCTGGAGTTTCAGTGGCCTGTTCGACCTCGGAGAAGACACTGTTTCATTCTTCTGAAAAGTTGGAACACCTGTTGCTTGGCAACCCTCCCACCTGCCTTATTGCTTCTTACTAAGGGGTGGTGGTGGTGTAGAGGATCACCACAACTCCAAAAAGTCAAAGAAAGGAGATGCCTGGAGGTGCATCCACGGGGATTTATGGAGAGGAACCCACGGTTGCTTTAAAGCTACGTGCCTTCGATGGCTGGATGTACAATCGGGCAGGAGATGTTTGGAGTCTGGGTGTGTGAAAAAGAAAACTGGGTAGGCATTTATGGCCCACGGGGACTCATCCCTGCTCTCTACGTGCACACCTCGACTTACCCCCTCAACTGGGACCAGAATTTCTGAACTGCGATGGCCAGCTGGAACCATGCACACCGATCCCGGAGCCCTAGCTTTGCTCTGGCAGCACCACCGCTTCAGCTCTTCCCTCCGCTACACTAAGAAAAGAGTTGTTAAGTGAGTTTTAAACCTGCCCAGTTTTACAACTTTTTTTTTTGCTATGGTTGTTAAGGGAATCATGAGCTCTTTAGGCTTTCTTGCTTGTTGGAAGCAGTCTAGGAAAGTTGCAAATGCTGATCACTTGACCCCGGGATGCTGCGACGGTCGTAAGTGTGAAAAACGGTCATAAGTCAATTTTTTTCCGTGCCATTGTAACTTCGAATGGATAATAAATGAACTGTTGTAAACCGAGGACTACCTGTACTTGCTTTAATTTGACAAGATTCTGTCTGTGTGCAAAGAACAATAAATAAACTACTCAGAAGGAGGTCTATGCATTGTTCTTCCTTCTTGGGCCTGACATCAAACTTGCCACAGTAGAGCAACTATTTGAATAATAGTGAAGAGGACGTAAAGAGGCTCTTGATGCGGGTGAAGAAGGAGAGTGCAAAAGTTGACTTGAAACTCAACATTAAGAAAACCAAGATCATGGCATCCGGCCCTCTCAATTCCTGGCAAATAGATGGGGAAGAAATGGAGGGAGTGACAGATTTTATTTTTCTGGGCTCCAAGATCACCACAGATGGGGACTGAAGCCAAGAATTTAAATGACGCTTGCTCCTGGGGAGGAAAGCTATGCAAATCTAGACAGCATACTAAAAAGCAGAGACATCACCTGCCAACAAAAGTGCATATAGTCAAGGCCATGGTTTTCCCAGTTGCGATGTATGGCTGTGAAAGTTGGACCATAAGAAAGGCTGAGCGCCAAAGAATTGAGGCCTTCGAACTATGATGCTGGAGAAGACTCCTGCCAGTCCCCTGGACTACAAGGCGATCGAACCGGTCAGTCCTAGAGGAGATCAACCTTGACTGCTCTTTAGAAGGCCAGATTCTGAAGTTGAAACTCAAGTACTTTGGCCACCTAATGAGAAGGAAGGACTCACTAGAGAAGAGACTAATGCTGGGAAAAACTGAGGGCAATAGAAGAAGGGGACGACAGAGAATGAGGTGGCTGGATTGAGTCACTGAAGCAGGAGGCGTGAACTTAAATGGACTCCAGAAGATGGTAGAGGACAGGAAAACCTGGAGGAACATTGTCCATGGGGTCGCGATGGGTTGGACATGACTTTGCAACTAACAACAACAACAACCTATAGTCTATGAACTGTTAGGGAGGGGCTGTCTTAAGCCTCCTCCTGTCCACCAGACATTCCAAGCTCCTCTGGGCTCTGGGAAGCAACCCCTCCCACCTGGGAATCCAGACTCCTCTCCATCACAGTGAGGCAAAAAAGAAACAGTACTGTCAATGCTGCACAACCGTGGCTCTCCCCAACTTCAGCTTGGCCAAACCAGATGAGAAGGTCACCCTTTCTTTTCCACCCCCATCAACATGTTTGATGAAAAAGAGGTACTGTTTCATTGGGATCCATTCCAAGGAACAACTTCAGAATAAAATTTGGATTTATTTGGATGTAATAAACATCAGACCAAGTCTCATTTCTAATTATGGCATTCCTGTGTATTCCCCCCCCCCAGGGATATGAGCTTATAATAAAGGCTTGCCTGGCACTAAAGACAGCCAAATTGTTACCTTTTAAATGCGGGTATATAAATGTCTTTATATTTAAATACATTTTAATGCTGGGCAATAGATATCTAGTTCAAACTGAGTCTCTCTCCTCCATCCCATACCCATTAAATAAATACACGCTCTCAGGGAAAAAATCTTTTTCAAATATCCTTTGCCACCTGCCAAATTAATATGGCGTACTTTAATTGAAAAGGGGATGATCTAAGCATTAATCAAATCATGCATTAACTCAAGTGCTTTAGGAGAATGGAAAGCCAGAGTGATCTCATTGAGAGATTGGCTTTGCGTCTGCCCTTTCCCCATTCAAGGACTGTTTTAAGTGTGAATCACTGGTCCTCTGTCAAACTCCCCTTTGCCTTATTTTAACACTGAATCTACTTTCCTGGAAAGGCTCTTGTTTTCAGTATATATATTTTTTTCTATTTTGAGTGATTTCATCTTTGCCCAAACATTTTTTTTCTTCTATCTGTGGTTTTCTCACATCATCTAAACCAGGAGGTTGAAAATTAACCAGTGGAACGGAAGTTGCCTTCAGAAGTTGTGGGTGCTCCATCGCTAGAGGCTTTTGAGAAGAGACTGGACATCCCTTTGTTTGGAAGGATATAGGGTCTCCTGCTTGAGCAGTTCTATGTTTACCCTTTCTTTCTTTCTTTCTTTCTTTCTTTCTTTCTTTCTTTCTTTCTTTCTTTCTTTCTTTCTTTCCTCTGCTATTCTGTTTTATGTTTACCCTTTCTTACAGCCTCTTTCTTTCTTTCTTTCTTTCTTTCTTTCTTTCTTTCTTTCTTTCTTTCTTTCTTTCTTTCTTTCTTTCTCTCTTTCTGTTATTCTAAGTTCTATGTTTACTCTTTACCTCTTTCTTATTCTTTCTTTCTCTCTCTCTTTCTGTTATTCTGTTTTATGTTTACCCTTTCTTACAGCCTTTCTTTCTTTCTTTCTTTCTTTCTTTCTTTCTTTCTTTCTTTCTTTCTTTCTTTCTTTCTTTCTTTCCTTCTTTCTCTCTTTCTGTTATTCTAAGTTCTATATTTACTCTTTCTTACAACCTCTTTCTTATTCTTTCTTTCTTTCTTTCTTTCTCTTTCTTTCTTTCTTTCCTTTTTTCTTTCTGTTATTCTAAGTTCTATATTTACTCTTCCTTACAATCTCTTTCTTATTCTTTCTTTCTTTCTTTCTTTCTTTCTTTCTTTCTTTCTTTCTTTCTTTCTTTCTTTCTTTCTTTCTCCATCCTATGGGCAAGGTTTCTTGGGAGAAAGAGCAAATAAATGTGAAAAGGATCTGATAGACACCTTTAGATGGAAATGCCTTACTACCAGCTTGATCCCAAGAACATGGTTTGGAAATGAACCCAGTCTCTGGGCTTTCCTTTCACTCCTCCCCTGATCTTCTTCCACCAGAGGGCAGCCACATCAAGCCCACCTCTGTCAGTTATCCCAGATAAAATGCAAAATTCCTTATGAAATCCCAGAATGTAAGGACAGCCCAGGGAATGCTGGGAAATTTAAAAAGACGGTGGCCTGGCAGCTGTGGGAGCTTCCCAGGTGGAACGGGACAAGGAGTCTAGGAACCGCTCCTAGAAGGTGGTGAGCTGAGGAACCTCAAGAGCCAGAAAGTGGTGGGAACAACACGATAGGAAGGACATCCTGGTATGTAAGTAAAATAACAGATTCGGGGATAACAGAAAAAGGAAAGAAAAGAACTGACTTGAGAGGGAAGGTTAGCCTGTTAGGAAAGAAAAAGAGGAAACTTTGTTCCAAAAAGGTGGTGAGGAGGCATAATAATGTTCTGCAATCTACTTGTCCTCAGGAATCCAACCACTTTCAAAGAAAATGAGGAAGGACATTTTTCAGCTCTGAGGAACATGTTGAGGCACAGCTATGATCTGAAGAAGCTCAGAGGGATGAAAGATGTTTTGAGTGAATCATAAGTTTATGTCTTGAACCCAAAACCACAAGCAGGTTTCCACACTGAAACACCCTGCTGGACTCGGTAGCTCCAATTTGTTCCTGCAAACTAATCCCACGCATATATATTTTTTTAAACCTTAATGATGATGTTTTGTTGAATTCCACTGGGCTTTTGAATGGAAACATACTGATACTCTGCTTGCTTTTTAAGCATGATTGCTAGTCCCCTTAGGGCTCTTTAAAATCCAAAAAGGAGAGCTTTGAATATTTCAGGAACAAATGAGCTGGGCCGGAGATTCTTCTGAAGGCTTGAGTAGACTTCCTTCGCATCATTTATTTATTTATCTATTTATTAAATTTATATGCCGCCCAACTCACTATTCCAAGCAGTTCTATGCTTTGCTATTGGGTGGGTGAGTGGGGGGCAGAAAACACCCATTACACAAATTTGCCATTTTGATCAATTGCTTTCAATCATCTCGTTGCATCCGCAGAAATGGTGAATTTAATATATAACTGGTCACAGCTTTTTCCATGGGATTACTGGGTAGTGATGGCGAATCTTTTAAAGACCGAGTGCCCAAATTGCAACCCAAAACCCACTTATTTTTCACAAAGTGCCAGGGCCACATCAGCATTGTGGTGCCCTTGGGGGAGGGCAGGGAGGCGCCTCTGAGTGCCACCTCTGGCACGTAAAAACCGAGGGGGGGCGCAAAAATGAGCCACCGTGCTACAAGGCACAAAAACAATTGCCGCCGCACCATGGGGCGCAGATACAAGGCGCTGCACCATGCAAGAACGGGGCAGTGATCATCACGCAGGCCCTAGCCCCACCCCATTTGCAGTGCATGCATGCTCGAGGCCCCGTGCGCACATGCAGGCATGTAAAATGCTTCCCCCTCCCTTTTCTTCCAGTCCACCAATCAACAATGGTTGGTGACCTCTGCTCTACCACCTCTACTCGAGCTTGCTAGTCGGCCGCTTCGCCTCCTTTGTGCTGGGCGGGGCTCCTGCTCCGGGCGGCGGCGGTGGCCTGATGGACCTGCTGCTGGTGGCAGCGGCACACGTGCCAACAGAGAGGGCGCTGAGTGCCACCTCTGGCACTCATGCCATAGGTTCGCCACCACTGCTATAGGGGAAGGTCTAAAAGTCAACCGGGTGGGCACAATGGTGTGACTGAAGCAGCACAAATACAGGAAGTCCTGTATTCGTTTAATGACCATTCAAAATTACAATGCCACTGAAAAAAAAGTGACTGACAACTAAACGGTCCTGGCCCTTAACCACGGTGGTGGCATGATGGGCCTGCTGCTGGGGGCGGCGGCACACGTGCCAACAGAGAGGGCTCTGAGTGTCGCCTCTGGCATGTGTGCCATAGGTTTGCCACCAGTGGGGTAGATGGTGATAAAAACCAAACTCACTCACAAACCTCTGGATTATGCACCAAGAAACAGAGGGTGGTTGATTGGCTGCACTGTTGAAGGCAATAGCACAGTCAACATGGGTTTCTGGTTGAATGATCAGGTCCAAAGTGAAACTGTCAACTCTACAGTTGGACATGGGAAAACTAAGGAAAGGCACATTCCCATGGAAAAGGAAGATCAAGGCAACTGCCCACATGGGCTCTCATCCCTTCCTCCCTCCCTCCTCCAGCATGGACCCCAGGGTCTTACATACCACACCACTCGTCCACCCAGGCGAAGGCTTGGCGATGTCCGATGAGTAAAATATCTCGAATAACCTGAAACCCAAAATCGTGTTACTGGCATTGCAGGCAGTGTCCAAGCAAATTCCACCCAGCAATTCCACCACCGTAAATCAATACGAGCCAGCAGTTTGCTGCAGCTGCCCCCAAAAGCTTAGGTTGCATCAACAGAAGGATAGTATCAAGATCACACGAAGAGTTAGTACTGTTTTACACAGTTTTGGTAAGACCACCCTTGGAATATGGCATCCAGTTTTGGTCATCACATTACAAAAAAAGATGTTGAGACTTTAGAAAGAGTGCTGGGGAAGAGCAACAAAGATGTTTTCAAAGAACAGGAACTGGGGATGTCTAGTCTAATGAAGAGAAGGACTAGGGATGACAGGATAGCAGCCTTCCAATATTTGAAGGGCTTTCGCAAAGAAGAGAGGGTCAACCTATTTTGCAAGCCACCCAAAGGCAAGACAAGAAGTAACAGATGGAAATTTATCAAGGAGAGATCCAACCCTAGAACTAACAGTGAGAACAATTTATCAGTGGAATGGTAGAAGGTGTGGGTGCTCCATCACTGGAGATTTTCAAGAGACTGGAAGCCATTTGTCCAGACTCTTATAGGGTCTCCTGCTTGAGCAGGAGTTTGGACCAGAAGGCTTCCAAAGTCCCTTCCATTACACTGCTTCTGCCATTGTAGCCCTTGGGGAGATAACTGACTGGGGAATTCTGAGAGCTGAAGTCCACAAGTCTTAACAGTTTCCAAGGTTGGACACCCCTGATATAAAGCATTACTGGATTCCCTATTTCTTGATTTGACCTAACTCCAAGGGCTGACAGCATGTGCTATCCTTTTCTGATTTTCTGTAAAGTTTGCCTGATGCTATTTGTGGCACTATGACACAATTTCCCTACTTTGCTTTGGAGGCGGGAGGCATATGGTGTTTTCCTCCCAAAATACGAAGCAACGCAAAGCTCTCTTCTAAACTGCAGCATAAAATTCAACATTTTCTACCTTGTTTTGCTGTTGCGATTGAGATGGGCAATCGCAGCCAACTGGATGTCAAGAACCACAACTCTGAGCATCCCTCACCCCCCCAGCCAAGTGGGCCAAGACTGAGAGTTGTAATCCAGCAACATTGCCATTCTTGGCTGCAGAAACCAAACATGACCACTTTATGGAGGAAGACTGATGGAAGCATCAAACCCAAATACAGACTGAGTTTAAAACGAACAGCCAGAGATTATTGTTCTGTATTGATTTCCCCATTTAAAAAAAAACCCCAGGATCATTCTCTCAGAAGATAACATCCTATGAATGAAATTTCAAAAAAGAACTACTTGTGTTGTGTGCCAAGAACAAGAGAGAAGAATATTTGTGTGCAGAGAAGAGCAACAAAGATGAAGGGCCTGGAGGCTAAACCATATGATGAACAGTTGAGGGAGTTAGCTATGTCTAGCCCAGTGGTGGCGAACCTATGGCACGGGTGCCAGAGGCGGCACTCAGAGCCCTTTCTGTGGGCACGCGCCGTCGCCCCAGTCCTAGGCCTTCAGATGGGTTTTATAAAACCTTTTCGCTTTAGACCTCTGCTGCCGTGTGCAAAAAAAAAAAAAAAAGGTTCAATCAGTCAATTTCAACTTCTCACAGAAAAAAAAAGATTTTGCAAAGTTGGAATTGATTGATTGAACTTTTTAGTCCCACCCAGTCTGCCGTTACCACCGCAGCCACGCCCACCCAATGGGCCATGCCCACCCAATGGGCCATACCCACCCGGCACCCGACGATGCATAAGTGGGTTTTGGGTTGTAGTTTGGGCACTCGGTCTCTAAAAGGTTCGCCATCACTGGTCTAGCCTATTGAAGAGAAGGATTAAGGGGGACATGATAACTGTCTTCCAATATTTGAGGGGCTATCACAGAGAAGAGGGGATTGACTTATTCTCCAAAGCACCCGAGATCAGGACAAGAAGTAATGGGTAGAAGTTCATTAGAGAGATACAACCTACAACTAAGGAGAAATTTTCTGACATTGAGAACAATTAATCAGTGGAATGGCTTGCTTCTAGAAGTTGTAGGTGCTCCATCACTGGAGGTTTTCAAGAAGACAACCATTTGACTAAGATGGTATAGGGCTCCTGCCTTGAGCAGGGGGTTAGATACTAGAAGACCTTCAAGGTCCCTTCCAACTTTGTTATTCTGTTAGTCCAGGGGTCTTCAAACTTGGCCCTTTTATGACTTGTGGGCTTCAACTCCCAGAATTCCTCAGCTGAGGAATTCTGGGAGTTGAAGTCCACAAGTCATAAAAGGGTCAAGTTTGAAGAGCCCTGTGTTAGTCTGTTCCCAAAGAGGATTTGAGCTCTAAGGAGCTCTCCAAGGTACTGAAAGGGCAGCCCTATCCCACATGAAACCTGGCCACCAAGTCACAATGCATCTCTTGCCCTTCTCAATTTGTAATCAGGAAAGCCATTGTCCTAAAAACAAGAACACCACCACTAATATAGCATCTCCCAGATCAGCCAACAAGGATTCTTGCATTCTGGGATAGTTCCTCCCCTTAACTGCTGAAGTAGTCCTCAAACACAGAAGATACTGTAGAATTGTAGGGCTGGAAGAGATCTCAGCAGTCTTCTAGTCCAAGATAGAAGACTTTATACCATCCCAGTCAAATGGTTGTCCAGTCTATTTTTGAAAATCTCTAAGCAACAGAGCACCCACAATTCCAGGAGGCAAGCTGTCTCACTGATGATTTGTTCTTACTGCCAGGAATTTTCTCCTTACTTCTAGCTTGGATCTATCTTTAGCAAGCTTCCCATCATTCCTTCTTGTCCTACTTTGGATAATAAGTCAATCCCCTCTTCTCTGTGACAGTCCCAAGTATTGGAAGACGGTTGTCATGTTCCCCCAGTCCATTTCTTTGATAGACTGATCATACCTAGTTCCCTTAACTGTTCATTATATGATTCAGACTCCAGACCCCTGATCATTTTGGTTGTTCTTCTTTGCACTCTTTCTAGGGTCTCAGTATCTTTTTTGTTTCATGGTGACCACACCTGGAAGCAGTATTCCAAGCGTGGCCTCACTAGTGTGATATAAAGCGGTACTGACACTGCATGTGACCTTGAAACTGTCCCTCCATTGATGTAGCCCAAGATGTCATTGGCTTTTTGGCTATTGCAGCACATTCATCTCCAGCCATCAGACTTCTTTGCAGGCCTCTTTGTAGACCAAAGTACAATCTCACCTTATGGACAAATTGTTCTACCCGTGTTTGCAGCCCCCAGACTTCAAATTTGACCGTCACCAGTTTGTAGGAGCACATGATGGGCTGTGTCTGTTCCCGCCAGCCCTCCAGGAGTGGCCCGCGACCCGTCTTAGCTGAGCTGAAGGACCGGAGATCCTATATAGCCAAAAGGGGGGGGGAATAGAATTTTGATCACGTGGCTATGGGGAGGCTGCAACAGTTATAAGTGTGAAAACTTTGAACGGTCACTAAATGAAAGGTTGTAAGTCAAGGACTATCTGTAAAATTAACCCCACTGGTTGTGCTTCCCCCCACCCCCCCGGACTGCCTCACAAGGCTGGTATCAATTTTGCAAGTCTTATACTCTTTTCCACTTGGGATTTATCTCCTGATCCTCAGGAGACTCTGTCCACCAAGCACTTGAGAGCAGGATCATTGCAACCCCAGCAGCAAGTAGGTGTACAAGTGACCAATTTGCAGAGTGCCATGATCTAACACAGGAGTGTCAAACTGCCAGCCTGTGGCCGGTTTCATCATACCAGAGCCGCGCCCACCCCATTGCTGGCAATGGCAAAAAAGCTCCGCTACGTCGCGCGATGTCACATGACGTCGCGAGTTTGACATGCCTGATTTAACACTACAGTTGGGACAGAAGTTACCCCAGACTGCAGAAGTAGAACAACGTGAAGTCCTTCCTCCTGTCTCCCAAGGTCCTTCCTACAGGCCATTACAGGAATGAGCAGTTGGGTTGGAGAAGCCAAAGCCACCCACCAACCATGCACGGTTAGCCTGTCCAACAGGTTGTTACCTCTAAGCTGCTGTAGTAGCGCTCTGGGATTTCATCAAAAGCAATGTCCAAGAACATCACTTCATGGTCTCCCAAGATTTTTTCACTGGGAAAGATCTGTGAGAGCAAGTGGGAAAAACAACGCCAGTCAGCTTGCCAGTGAGAGAAAACACAGATTCTTAGCTAATGAGGGATGGTAAACATAAGTGGCGTTGGCGAAGCTACAATGCATACCGGTACCTTCCTTGGCTTGTCATAAGTTTCCATCCGTTGCTTCTTGTCCTACCTTCAGGTGATTCTCCAAAGCACCAGAAGGCAGGACAAGAAGCAAAGGATGGAAATTAATCAAGGAGAGAAGCAACCTAGAGCTAAGGAGAAACTTCTTGACAGTGAGAACAATTAACCAGTGGAATGGCTTGCCTTCAGAAGTTGTGGGTGCTCCACTACTGGAGGTTTTCAAAAAGGAAATTGGACAACCATTTGTCCAGAATTGTAGAGGGTTTCCTGCTTAAGCAAGGGGTTGGATTAGAAGACCTTCAAGATCTCTTCCAACTCTGCTATTCTGTATTCAGTAATACTCTGCTATTCTGTATTCTGTAATACTCTTCTTATCCAGCTTCTATAAAGTCCAACTCTGTTACTCGGTTATTGACACCATCATGTTCCTCTGAATCACAAGGCCTCTTCAGATTCTCTGCTCTCTTGCCTAAGTCCCTGATAGTGGCCATAGTGATGGACGCCGCCTCGCCTTGACTCTGCTCATCTCATCAGCTGAATGGAATCTTTGCAAAGGGCACTCAATTGTTCCTCATGGTCCCTTCCCACAAACAAGCCCAGATGCAACTTCCCAGGGGGAGAGGATAATTTAATGCAGTGTTTCTCATCCATGGAAACTTGGAAGATGTGTGGACATCAACTCCAGGGTTCCTCAGCCAGGGGTGAAATTCCTCTGACCGGGGGTTGTCCGAGCTAAAATTTGGTCACTAATTCAATGCATGGATAACTCTCACCATGTCTTCATTCCCCCCCTGAAAGTAACTGTACAGGATGAAATGGGCCACTGTTTCTAATTCTGTATGGGTTGTACTTACGTTGGTGCTATTTCCACAATTATCTTCATACTTGGTCTCTATGTAGATAGAAAATTTGGGCAGAAACGAGCACTGTAAAAGAAAAGAGAAATGGAGAGCATGTGAGAAGATCCAGAGGATGAGTGAAAGGATGGTGCTGGAAAAGAGGCAGACAATCATTTTTATAGATTTTGTACTTATATCCTGCCTTTATTATTTTTACAAATAACTCAAGGTGGAAAACGGATCCAACACACCTTCCTCCTCCTATTTTCCCCACAACAACAACTCTGTGAGGTGGATTGAACTGAGAAAGAGGGATTGGCCTAAGGTCACCCATTTGGCTTTCACGGCTAAGGCAGGACTAGAACTCACAGTCTCCTGGTGATTGGCCCAAAGTCACCCAGCTGGCTTTCACGGCTAAGGCAGGACTAGAACTCACAGTCTCCTGGTGATTGGCCCAAAGTCACCCAGCTGGCTTTCATGGCTAAGGCAGGACTAGAACTCACAGTCTCCTGGTGATTGGCCCAAAGTCACCCAGCTGGCTTTCACGGCTAAGGCAGGACTAGAACTCACAGTCTCCTGGTGATTGGCCCAAAGTCACCCAGCTGGCTTTCATGGCTAAGGCAGGACTAGAACTCATAGTCTCCTGGTAATTGGCCCAAAGTCACCCAGCTGGCTTTCACGGCTAAGGTGGGACTTGAACTCACAGTCTCCCACTTTCGAGCCTGTTGTCTTAACCACTAGACCAAACTGTCTCTCATCTATTAACCATCCACAAAAGGTGCCATTTACACTTTCCTGTCCATAAAGCTATGGTTATGAAGCAAGCCATGCTGCACCAAGAAACGAAAAGAAAGTGACGGGGTTTAAACTTTTCTTTCCTTCATGTAGTTCATGAAAAATGGGACCTGCAGAAAAATCTCATCCTGCCACTCTTATAACTTCTGGGAACCATCTGCAAATCTTCAAGTATTAAATCGGAAGCCATGATGACTAGAAACCCAGTTCTTCCTTTATACTGAAGACATTGGGCTCTGCAGTTCCTCTGGGTTTTTTGTGCTCCTACTGGAAAAGGCAGAAGCCCTCCAGATGTTCCCTTTTTGCAAAGACTAGTCTGCAATTCAAACAAACAAAGAATAAACAACATAACCATGGAACCACCGAGAACATGCCCACTGACAGGGCAACCACCAGTATATCCAAAGAGAGCAAATCCCTCTCCTTTCTAGCACTGATGATGTTACCTAGTTGGTTTATGAAGTGTCTGTCAGAAAATAACCCATCTCAGAGAGCACCAAGGACCCCACTGCAGCCTTGAAGTTACTCGTGGTATTCTTGAGCTCTCTCTTCTATTCTGCTAGAGAAGTACTGAAAGTAGGGAGGCACCTTAGTACTTACTGTATACTCTGCATCCATGGTGAGATAATTCCAGATATCCCAAGTTAGCAAAGGGGAGACAGAGAAAGAGACAAAGCTGAGGTTGGAGAGAAGGAAGAGTTATCCATTACACATTTTCTGGGCAACTAAACCCACTCACTTTGTAACCTGGTGTAGGCATGAGGGTGTTTTAGTAAGCTTCAAAGCTGTAAGGGGAAATTACATGGCTCTTGTACCCAAATTGCATCAACTGAATCTTGCAAAACTGAAAGTATTTTTCCCCTCCTGTAGGAAATTACCAGGTTGAGCCCGAGGGGGGGGGGAATCAAACATGTCATCATTCTTGAGTCTCTTTGAGCCCACAAGAGATCCAGCCCACCTCAAATTCCTTCTACTCTTATCTCCCGCCAATTTCCATTGGCTGCTAGTAGTTCAGATTCTTGTAGAGAGCTTAAGCATACAATAAATCTTTACACACTTTTGAAACACCTGGGTTTCTTGATTTTCTTGACATCTCTTTTCTTTTCACTCTCCAGAAAACCAGGGAGGATCCCTTCTGAATAGCAATATCAATAGCACTTAGACTTATACTCCACTTCACAGTGCTTTACAACTCTCTCCAAGCGGTATACAGAGTCAGCCTCCTGCCCCCAACAATCTGGGTCCTCCTTTTACCGACCTCAGAAGGATGGAAGGCTGAGTCAACCTTGAACCCGCTGAGACTCGAACTGCTGGCAGTCGGCAGAATTAGCCTGCAATGCTGCATTCTAACCACTGTGCCGCCACAGCTCATGAATGCTTTCCATACCTTTTTTCTTTTGGGGGGGCTGAGATACCTTTTGCACAATGATTGTCCAGTTTGTGGCTCTCTCTCTCCTGTCTGCCAAGGACATTCTCACATGTCATTAGAGTTTCCTCCTTACCTGTGATGGTATATGGGTAATAGTTCCAGGCTTTCTCGGTGATATAGAAGATTCGTGGTGTTACCGCACGAGCCCAGCTAGGCAATTTGCTGCAGAAGAACAGAGCACAAGGCTAAATGGAAATCAAACCCCAAACTTAAGTCTATGTTCAAGTCTCCAAAGTATTAAGATATATCCCAAATTAACCCAAATGAGCTCTATAGTAATATAATAGTATTTAACATATTACAATATATTAAATATTAACATTTAAATAAAAAAATGAAATAAGCATCTGAGGTAGGAACCAGTGATCTCCAGACTGGAGAGAACCATGATGTTAACAGAGATCAAATGCCTTTAAAGCCAACAAGATAAGAATCTGTTGGATTGGGGAGAGGAAAATGCCTAAAATTAAACTCTAAAGCAGAAAACTGGAGTGGATAATCTTCTGTAGGTCTATGGCTTCATTCTTGCCTGCAGTAGAGATTGAACAAGTCAAGAAGGGTGCCGAGGAACTGGAAACAGTTCAGAGAAGAACAAACGCTATGTTAAGTGATTTATTGATTAAGACTGAAGAAGAATGATTAATGTTGCTGTGGATGTTTCATCTAAAGAAGAGAGAACTAAAGGTAGACATGACAGTCTTCCAATCCATAAAGGGGTGTCACAGGGAAGAGGGTATGGATTTATTCTCCATAATGCCTGAATGTAGGACAAGGACCAATGGGTGGACATTTTACAGAGGAAGAACCAAACTGGGAAAAGGAAGAAATTTCATGGTGATGAGAGTTCATGAGCAATGGAACAGCCTGTCCCCTGTACTCACAGGAGCTCTGTCACTGGAGGTCTTCAAGCAAAGGTTGGGCAGCCATTTATATGGAATGGCCTGAGGATTCCTGCCATGGGCAGAAGGTTGGAGGAGAAGATCTTCATGTTCCTTCCAATCCTAAGGTTCTAAGCCATGACCTTCTACCAAGTAAGCCAGTTCATGAAGAAGAGGATAAAAGTCTCAGCAAACCAAGTTTTACATAAATGTCAAGTCAAGAAGATGGACAAAATGTTGACCAACAATGTAAATAGACCACCGACTCAGTTTTATTCCACTTTTATTTTTGCAGCTTCTGGAGGAGCAAGTTTACCTAATTAGAGCTGCCCAGTTTTTCCTATTTCCCCCCTCTCCCTAACTGCAGAAGTATAAAATAGATGAGTTAAGCCTCTGATGTTAAAGTTAATTCTCGCAGTCAGTTAGAGCTAAGATAGAAGCAACTCGCACTGTTAGAAATAGAACAGATGAACAGAAACAGGCTGTTCTACTCAAAAGAGTGGGGAGGGGGGCTGCCACATGGCTTAGGAAGACAATGTTACACCAGAAGGCTTGAGCATCTTCCTTTTCATACCTAGACTTGTTTTTGAACCACTGCAGTGGATGACATTCTTGTATGATTGGTTTATACACCCGTCAATAAATATTATATATAGTTGGTGGCCCCGATCTAAGTGGTTCGTTCCTGCACATGGGCTGTTGGACATCTGATCAGCTTAAGATACTTATTTTAGGGAATTTCTCTTCCCTGTTTCAAAAAAGGCAAAGATAAAAGCTTCATTGATTGATTATGTGCCATCAAGTCGGTGTAGACTCTTAGCAACCATATAGATAGAGTTTCTCTAGGAAAATCTGCCCCCAACCTAGTCTTCCAACAGTGAAGGTCTTCCAATTCATTGCCATGGTAATTGAGTCTGTCCATCTTCCTGCTGGTCATCCTCTTCTCTTCTTTTCTTCACACCTCCACATTAATGCCTGCATAATGTCCAGAGTATGACCATTTGAGCCTGGTCATTTGTGCCTTGAGTGAGAATTCTGGGTTGATTTGTTCAATGGACCATGGGTTTGTTTTCTTGGTTGCCCATGGTCTTCTCAGGAGTCTTCTTCACCACCAAAGTTCAAAGCATCAATATTCTTCTTATCCTGCTTCTTTAAAGTCCAACTTTCACTTCCATAGAGTATCACTGAGAGCCAGTCTGGCCTAGTGGTTAAGGCACCGGGCTAGGAACTGGGAGACTGTGAGTTCTAGTCCAATTTTAGGTATGAAAACCAGCTGGGTGACTTTGGGACAATCACCAGGAGATAGTGAATTCTAGTTCTGCCTTAGGCATGAAAGCTGGCTGGGTGACTTTGGATCAATCACCAGGAGATGGTGAATTCTAGTACCACCTTAAGCATGAAAGGGAAGATAATGCATGGTTTTCCTGATGACCTCATGAACATTTCTATGCAGTTTTCTTGACAACAATATCTGCCATTAACCTCTTTGAAGATTTTTTTTAAAACTTTGCATCCCTTGGACTTCCTGGTTGTCCCACCCAGGGAGATGTTCTCGGGTGACAGATGGTGGGCAAGGAAGCAAGAAAAGCCTGTGCTGATGATGTTACATAGTTTGGGTAATGAAACATCTGCAAGAAAACAACCAAGAGGAGAGAGCACCAAGGACCACCTCTCCAGAAACGATTCTACTTGGTCATCCAGAAAAACAAGGACACTCTGCTTCTCCCACTTTTTCTTCCCAACCATTGCCTGGAACCAACCCTGCCAAATAACATTCCGTGAGCCCACCACCCTCTTGAGTCTTCCTCTGTGCATCTCTTTTGCAGGACTGAGCTGAGATGCCTCTTCACGGGCATCTCTTTTGCAGGACTGAGCTGAGATGCCTCTTCACGGGCATCTCTTCTGCAGGACTGAGCTGAGATGCCTCTTCACGGGCATCTCTTCTGCAGGACTGAGCTGAGATGCCTCTTCACGGGCATCTCTTCTGCAGGACTGAGCTGAGATGCCTCTTCACGGGCATCTCTTCTGCAGGACTGAGCTGAGATGCCTCTTCACGGGCATCTCTTCTGCAGGACTGAGCTGAGATGCCTCTTCACGGGTATCTCTTTTGCAGGACTTGAGCTGAGATGCCTCTTCACGGGCATCTCTTCTGCAGGACTGAGCTGAGATGCCTCTTCGCGGGCATCTCTTCTGCAGGACTGAGCTGAGATGCCTCTTCACGGGCATCTCTTCTGCAGGACTGAGCTGAGATGCCTCTTCACGGGCATCTCTTTTGCAGGACTGAGCTGAGATGCCTCTTCACGGGCATCTCTTTTGCAGGACTGAGCTGAGATGCCTCTTCACAGGCATCTCTTCTGCAGGACTGAGCTGAGATGCCTCTTCACGGGTATCTCTTTTGCAGGACTGAGCTGAGATGCCTCTTCACGGGCATCTCTTCTGCAGGACTGAGCTAAGATGCCTCTTCACGGGCATCTCTTTTGCAGGACTGAGCTGAGATGCCTCTTCACGGGCATCTCTTTTGCAGGACTGAGCTGAGATGCCTCTTCACGGGCATCTCTTCTGCAGGACTGAGCTTGTGGCATCTGATCTAGTTCCTTCACCCCTGGGGATGTGACCAGGCTGCCTGGAATTGATCCTTCTTTGATGATCCTGTCTGCCTTCACCATAGCAACTTTATATTTCAACACACCGATTTGTGTTCTGCAGGTCTCTTCCCATTCATCCTGGTTCCTATTGGAAATTAGTCAAGCCTGCTTTAGCTATCTGAGATCAGCCAACGTTGACTAGGGGCTTCCAAGACAACGCCAAGTGAAAATGGCTAAAATTCTCCACTGGCAGCTGCCGCATTGAAGGGCTCCGTTTCAGAAAGGTTCTGCTTTGCTGTGGTGTCACCTGCCAGCTGGATTTTTACAGAGAGAAACGAGCTCCCTTTTCCTATCAGTCAATTATTCCTGTTCAGTTTTGTCTTCTATAAATAGAATTCCCTTAGGAGAAGAGTCGTGAGAACACAGTCTAAAAATACAACTGTTCCCCACATGGACAGCTCTAGCGATGGCCAACTGATTTTGATGGGTCTTGCTAGTGGGGTGTGAGTGAGGAACTGGGGGCTCATATTCCAGGTCATCAAGCAAACCAGCCAAAAATTGGGAAGCTGAGTTTAAGCCAGCTGGGAGAAATGCTTGGGGCTTCAGCTCAAATGCAATTGCAAGGTAAAAATCTGCTTATATCCGTGTAAGCTGGGAGGAAAGGACAAAGGTAAACAGAGAGAGAGACTGACAGGCTAATCCTAAATTCAATTGCAGGTTCGAGAGCCTGCATTTAAATGGATTTAGCCCAACTGAACCTTGCAGGCATCGTGCATTTGGAACTGGGAGGGAGTTAATACGAAATGACAGGGGTGGCTATTGAAAAAGAGGATGGGAATAAATCAAAACTTGATAAGAGGGATGCCCAGATTGATCCAAGGTAGGCTGCAGAGCCCTGCTTCCTATGAGCCCGAATGTGGCATGGATTCAGGGTCACCCAAGGATAACAATCAGAGCCCGGTGCTACACAATGCCTCAAAGGGAGGGGGGGAAGCAGCAGTGACTATCATTTCAGGCAACATCTATGGTCAACTGATTAGGGTCCATCTCCCCACCCAGGCAGTGCACTCTCCTGCATTCACAGGCAGGGCTTGACTTTGATTAGGAGCAGCACCCTGGAACAAGGAAGGAGGTTAACGAGAAGACCCTCTGCTCATTTCCTAAGAACAACAAAGCCTCAGGACAATCTAGAAGACACAACATGGAAGGAGGTTAAAAAGAAGACCCTCTGTTCATCTCCTAAGAACAACAAAGCCTCGGGACTTCTAGAAGACAAAACATGGAAGGAGGTTAACAAGAAGACCCTCTGCTCATCTCCTAAGAACAACAAAGCCCCGGGACTTCTAGAAGACACAACATGGAAGGAGGTTAAGGAGACGATCCTCTGCTCATTTCCTAAGAACAACAAAGCCTCGGGACTTCTAGAAGACACAACATGGAAGGAGGTTAAAAAGAAGACCCTCTGTTCATCTCCTAAGAACAACAAAGCCTCGGGACTTCTAGAAGACACAACATGGAAGGAGGTTAAGGAGAAGACCCTCTGCTCATTTCTTAAGAACAACAAAGCCTCAGGGTATCTAGAAGACATACAGTAACATGGAAGGAGGTTAAGGAGACGACACTCCTCTCATTTCCTCATTCATTGCTGAAAGAGAGAGCTGAAGAAGGAACTGTCAACCAGCAGTTGTGAGCACAAACTTCTCCAACTTGATATCCTGTAGTTGTGTGGACAAGGATCCCATACAGCAGGAGGATGGGAGCTGTAACCCCTGTATGGTGCTGAGCTTGCAAACATAATAGCAGCAGTTATCTGAATCAAGAGCTGATACAGTTACCCAGAGACTTCCCATCGTGAATAATTTTACCCTGAAGCTCCTAGGGAAGGTTCAAAAATCCCCCTTTCTCTCACAGTGGTTGTCAGAAACAGGCTCACCCATCATGACAAGAGGTCCAACTGTTGAGTTAGTGGGGCTCTTCGGTATGATCTAAAAAAGAGTCCCCTCCCCAGATCATAGAAAGAAGGCTGATCTTGGCCCAGCCAGTCAACTTCATTGGGTCAATTAGCTCAAACAACTTCTCCTGGAAAGTAAAACATTATTGATCTAGGACTTGCAGCCAGAAAAAGAAGAAACAGGAAGAAGACTGGAAACTGAGCAGTTGAAAGTATAAATGAGGCCCAGAAGGAATCATTTTTCTTCCCTTATCTGCCGCGAATGCTCACTGCTTTCAAGGATGACATCTCCTCGACAAGGTTCAAGCCAAGGCTGGCTAATGGGGGCGGAAGAGCAGATCGTTATGACCACATCCTATCAATAAATCAAGAGATTGGGCTGCATCTATATTGCTCTGTAAAGTTAAGTAGGGCCAAAGGAGGAAATTGAACAATTGATATTCTAGAAAGAGTACAGAGAAGAACAACAAAGATGATTAGGGGACTGGAGGCTAAAACATATGAAGAATGGTTGCAGGAATTAGGTATGTCTACTTTAATGAAAAAAAGGACTAGGGATGATGTGATAACAATGTTCCTATATTCGAGGGGCTGCCACAAAGAAGAGAGGGACAGCCTATTTTCCAAAGCACCAGAAGGCAAGACAAGAAACAATGGATGGAAACTCATCAAGGAGAGAACCAATTAGAACTAAGGAGAAATTTTCTGACAGTGAGAACAATTAATCAATGGAACAGCTTGCCTTCAGAAGTTGTGGGTGCTCCAACACTGGAGATTTTTAAGAAGAGATTGGACAACCATTTGTCCGTAATGGTATAGGGTCTCCTGCTTGAGCAGGGGGCTGGACTAGAAGACCTCCGAGGTCTCTTTCAACTCTGTTATCCAGAATGGGCAAAAAAACTGCAAGAGGTAGGAAGCAACAGCTTAGGAGGGGCAGGAAGAGACATGTATTTATTTTGAGCACGTTCCCTGTCCAGCTGCTACAACTGAAAAACAGAAAGTGTTTGGCATCCTTCAAAAGACTGGCCCCATTCCTTTGAATTAAATTAAAATGAAAGAAATTAATATTTTCATTTGGGATAAAAAGAAGAGGTCAAGAATTTTAAGAGAGCACCAATTCTTTTGAAATTTCAAAAACTTGTCTAGTTATGTCCAAGTCATCGTGGTCTTTGAAAGATTTCCCAGTCCTAGAAAATTTGGGGGAAATGTAAGGGCAACACATAAAAGCTTTCATGAGATGGCCCTCAGGACATAATGAAGTTGCAAGAGGCTGGAAGAGGGTCTGATCTGAGGAGACAAGTGTATAAAGAACAACTGAGGATGTCACCAATGAATGTTCTGCTGTGTAGAAAATGTTCATTCAGTTCAGGGTGCATTAAGAATAACAGAGCTGGAAGGGGCATTGTAGGTCTTCTAGTCCAACCCCTTGCTCAAGCAGGAACCCTACCATTCCAGACAAGTGGTTGTCCACTCTCTTCTTAAAAGCCTCCTGTGATGGAGCACCCACAACTTCTGAAGGCAAGCTGTTCCACTAGTTAATTGTTCTCACTATTAAGAAATTTCTCCTTAGTTCTAGGTTGCTTCTCTCCTTGATTATTTTCCATCCATTGCTTCTTGTCCTGCCTTCTGGAGAATAGGTTGACCTCCTCTTCTGTGAAAGAAGGTTCCTTTCCAAGAAGATATCCTTTCAAAGAAGGTTATCGAGAAAGGGAAGAAATTTAGAAATGGCCAGAGGTCCATAAAACAAGGTCTGTCCGAAAAAAGTTGAAGGAGCTGAATATGTTTTCCCCAGAGAAGGAAAACTAAGAGATTAGAAATGAGCTTTTCTAATCCCAGAAATATTATCTTATAGAAGAAGGAACATCTCTCTTAGGATATGAAGGCACCAATCTCACATATTCAAAGGAGAACCTTTTCAAAGTCAACAGCAGAAGAAACATATGTTCTGGAGAATAAGAGAAATGTTGACAATGTGTCCAATTACTTAGATGGAAGGTGGGTTCTTCTCCTTCCTGGTGGTCTTCAACCAGAAAGTAGGCCAATATCATCTGGGGATTATTCTAATTTTCTGCACCAAAGAGATGAATGGGCCAGATGGAACACAGAAGTTGCCCTATATTTTGCCTGATTATTTGTCCACATTCTGTAGTGATGGAAGTTCTCTAGGTACCCAACAAGAAAACTTTCCTAGGTGATACTGAGGATAGAACCAAGGACTTTTTCCTCAGTGACTATCATGTGTCACTGAAAGGATGATGATAAGACAGCATATGTAAATGTGGTTTGGTGTCTTACCAGGATGTCATGTTCCCATCTCCAAAATGAATGGTTCCTTCTTGGTGGTGAGAATAGAACTTTTCAGCCTTCTAGTTAGTCAGCATAAAAACATTCAGTCCTTGATTTACCCTGGATATCATTTCAAGTTTATTCTGGATTAAACACGGACGTTTTGAAGCATGCAAGAACTGGGCATGGCCAGTCTAGTGAAGAGAAGGACCAGGGGTGACATGATAGCAGAGTTCTAATATTTGAGGGTCTGCCACAGAGAGAAGGGGATCAACCAATTTTCCAAAGCACCCGAAGGCCAGACAAGGAACAATGGATGGAAACGGATCAAAGAGAGATTCAACCTAGAAATAAGGAGAAATTTCCCGACAGTGAGAACAATCAACCAATGGAACAGATTGCCTTCAGAAGTTGTGGGTGCTTCATCACTGGAAGCTTTCAAGAAGAAAGTGGACAGCCACTTGTCAGAAATGGCATGCAATTCTCAGTTCTGGCTCTGCATTCCTGCATTACACTAGACTTCTAATAAAACTATGCCTTCCTCAGCAAATGGAGCCAAGGATCGATTCTGCTTAGAGGCTTAAGTTGTGGCAGGTCTGACGCCCACATAAACAATCAGGGTACAGCCGATTATCCCCAAAGCAACTTAGATGATTCTGGTAGTGCTGATGGTCCTACGTATCAACAAGTAGTCTGCCCAACGTGAAAAGAGAAGGTCTGGATGATGATTTCCATGAATCCCATCCAGCAGAGCTACGGGTCCAAGATCTCTGGCAACGGGGAGCTTGCCCACCCGTCCACCAAGCATCTCCTGAAACAATTTACTCATTCTGCAAAATGTGCAGATTGGCACGAGAGCTGCAAAGCAGAGAGGTGGTAGAAAGGAAAGGGGAAACGGACAGTTGGTGGAATATTTAACAGGCTAGAATCCTGCAAGACCCAACCTGGAGCAATTCTCAGATTTCCTGACAGGTGAATTGGAAAGCAGATAACAAATGGATATTGCAGAAAAGCAAACTCTGCATCAGTTGGAGAGTAGAGAAGAAGAATGATGGTTAGTAGCAGGGATTCAGTCTTGGGAGAAAGTCTATAACATGAATTAAGGCGCACTAGGCAGCCTTCAGCCCCCAGGGCTGCCTATTGGTAGCGTCTCAGAACTATTTTATTTTATTTTATTTTTTGCAAATGATAGTAGCATTTCCAAAGGCCAACATCCCACCGCCGTTAAGGCTGAAATACGAGAGCATTAAGTCGAAGGAGCCTTGGTGGAGTTGAACCCCAGGCAGATAGCAATTGGCTGCAGGAAAAGAAATGGGAAAAGGGAAGGGAAGGGAAGGAGGAAGGGAGAGAGGAAGAAGGAGAGGGAAAAGAAAGGGAAGGGGAAGAGAAGGAGGTAGAGGGAAAGGAGGGAGTGAAAGGGAAAAGGAAAGGGACGGAGGAGGGGAAAGAAGAAAGAAAAGGGAGAAGGGGAAGAGGAAAGAGGAAAGGGGAAAAGGAAAGAAAAGGGGAAGACGAAGGGAAGGAGAATAAGGAAAGAAGGGTTCAAATATAATGGAAAGGAAACAGATCTAATGGCAAGGCAAGGCAAGATCTTGCCCATCCACCTCATAGGGTGACCCCTCCTTAACTCACTGCTTTCCCTACACCAGTGATGGCGAACCTTTTAGAGACCAAGTGCCCCAAAACCACCCCCCCACCCCTGTTCCCACTCTGCCCTGCCCACTGGGCCACCCACCACCTCCACGGTCCGCCACAGATCACCCAGGCAGCCCAGCAGTGCCATGGTGGCCATGCCCTCTGCCCATGCCTCGCAGCATCATCTGCGCACGACGGGGCGCAAGGGCAGAGTCTTGTCCCCGCTGCCCGGCTGCCATGTCCTTGGCTGTGCTGCTTTGCATGGGCCGCGCCCAGGGGCGACTCTCCTCCGGGGGGCTGCTGGTGAGGAGGGGGCCGTGGGAGGAGGCGGGCTGGGGAGACGGTGCGTGTGCCCACAGAGAGGGCTCCGAGTGCTGCCTCTGGCACTGTGCCATAGGTTCGCCACCACTGCCCTACACCAACACAATGTGTTGCGTTGCTCCATAAACAGAATACACTTAGTACACCTCCTTCCTCTCCCGGGTATACATTAAGAAACTCCTAACCTGCCTTGCAGGGCTAATGCAAGGAACGGCATGATGCCCCTGGAGCAAAGTTGCCCACAACAGAGAGGAAGAAGAGAGCCCGGAAACCAGCCCATGAAACGTGGCTGGAGCATCCTCACCTGGACAGGTGGACCCGCTTCTCGGTGAACTGGCCGGGGCCGTGGACGGGGTCCTCGTGGGGCTCGTTTTTCATCACTTCCACCCCTTCTCCTCGGTCGCTCTCCTGATGGCTGTGCTTACTGATGGTGTACAGCTGTCCGACTCGGTACTGTTGAGGAGAGGAGACCACAAGGAAAGCCACTGTGAAGGGGTTTATGCAAAGGGAAAAGGTGGGGGAGGAGGAGGAGGATAGACTGAACCCCTCCCGGGATACAGGTAATTCTCGACTTATGACCATAACGGCTCCCAAAATTTCTATTGCTAAGCGAGAACAGTTATAAAGTGAACTTTCCCCCATTTTACGACCTTCCTTGCCACAGCCGTTAAGTAAATCGCTGCAGTCGTTAAGTTAGTAACACGGTTGTTAAGTGAATCCGGCTTCCCCCATTGACTTTGCTTGTCAGAAGGTCGCAAAAGGGGATCGCGTGGCCCCCCCCAGGACACGGCCACCGTCATAAATACGAGTCATTTGCCAAGCCTCTGGATTTTGATCACGTGATCGTGGGGATGCTGCAGTGCAAGGACTGTAAATGTGAAAATGATCATAAGTCAACTTTTTTCAGCGCTGTTGTGACTTTGAACGGTCACTAAATGAACGCGTGCAAGTTGAGGATTACCAGTATTCTCTCTGCCATGAGAATTTACAATAATGAACCACCTGCCTGGGGTTTCATCAGCCCAGACAGGGAAACATACCCAGATGAGCTAATTCTACAGGGAGCGCTCGACTTATAACCCTAAATTACACTCCCAATTTCCGTTGCTAAGTGAGACATTCGTTAAGCGAATCTTGACGCATATTACGACCTTTTTTGCCCCAGTCATTAAGTGAATCACTGCAGTTGTTAAGTTAGTTGCATGGCTGTTAAGTGAATCTGGCTTAGAATAAGAATAATAGGGCTGGAAGGGCCCTTGGAGGTCTTCTAGTCCATCCCCCTGCTCGGGCAGAAGGCCCTTCTATACCGTTCTGAGTAAATGGTCATCCAGTCTCTATGGGAAAATTAAAAAAAAAAACTATGGAAAACTTCACGCATCGGCTGCAGTTTTCCAAGAAAAGAATTAAGTTGTCAGCTTCTTGTTTGGTCTCTGTCTCTCTTTTTTTTTCTCTGAAAGTCAATATCTGGTCAAACCTAATCTCAGTTTCCTTGCTGCTTATTTAGAACATTCAGTGTTATGATTGGGAAAAGAGAGAGGAGCGTCTGTATTTCAAAATGACTTTTTCCCCTTTTGTTGCAAAATGGAGACGTTATCCTCGCTGTGTGTAATTAAACACATAAACGCACACACGTGCATCTGTTTTAAATATTTCTATCAAACTCTGTGGCAAGGGTTTTGTTTCCCCTCATCTCCATAAGCAGCATTATAATTATTGCAATTTTAAAGTAAATAAAAACAATGGTATTTACGCTATTCTCCGCTTCTGAGGCAAGAAAAACTATTTCGGAATGGAAAAGAAGGCAGTGACTATGTATATGTATATGTATATGTATATGTATATGTATATGTATATGTATATGTATATGTATATGTATATGTATTTTTCAAAATTTGGATTGCTAACAAAGAATTAAGGGAGAACTGGAATAGCCATTTCGAACTTTTTAGTTCTTTTCAACCAGACATACCCTTCTGAGATTCGAACCTGGGCTGTCTGCATGTTAGGCAGATGTATTAACTTCTAGACCACAGGCTCTTTCTCACTTTCTCCCATATTTGGGCCGACAGGGTGCACCAAACTCAAGATAATGTATATGTATATGTATATGTATATGTATATGTATATGTATATGTATATGTATATGTGTATATGTATATTGGTGAGTTCTGTCTAACAAAATGTTCCTCTTCTCACTATGAAAGGATTTGATCATCAAATCAGTGTCAACTCTTCACAGATGGATTTTCAAGCCAGCGCACAGCAAGTTAAAGGCAATAAAATTAAATAAAATAGATTTCAAATCTAAGGGGTTAAAGTCTGGGAGCATCCATTCCTAACCTAGTGTTTCAACTCTTCCAGAAGTGCATTTATCACCATTGTAACCAGTATCCTTCTTGCTACTGGTTGTCTTCTTCCCTTTCAATCAGAATAACAGAGTTGGAAGAGACCTTGGAGGTCATCTAGTCCAATCCTTGCCCAAGCAGGTGGCCTATACCAAGCCAGTAAAATGGCTGTCCAGCCTCTTCTTAAAGGCTTCCTGTGATGGAGCACCCACAACTTCTGGAGGCAAGCTTAATTTTTCTCACTGTTAAGAAACCTCTCCTGAGTTCTAGGTTGCTTCTCTCCTTGGTTATTTTCCATCCAGGAAATTTCTCCTTCGTTCTAGATTGGATCTCTGTCTTCCAGTGGTGATGATTGCACCACTGGAAGAGTTGAAAGACCAGGTGAGGGACGGAAGCTTCCATCCATTACTTAGCATAAAGCTGGCCTATGTTTCTTTCCACTTTTTCTGGTTGATAGTCTCCAGAGAATTGGGTCTTCCATTAATGTGTCCAAAGTGGGATAATTTGAACCTTGTCATTTGTGCTTCTAATGAACACTCTGGGCTGATTTTTTTTAATGATCCATTGGGGTTTTTTCCCCCTTGGCAATCCATGGTCTTCTCAGGAGTTCTTCTCCAAGGCCACAGCTCAAAGTTCTCAGTACTCTTCCTCTCCCGCTTCTTCAAAATCCAACTGTTGCTTTCGTAGAGTGTCACAGGGAGAATCACCGTTTTTTAGGAATCTGGATGCTTCTTCCTGAAGGCAAGGCCCGTATTTTGCAGAGAGAATTTTTTCCTCCGAAGCCTTCCTGTGCAAAGGGAATTGTTTCTCCAGAGTAAACACCACCTGCCCCAGAAAGCCATCAGCTGCCTTGCCGCAACCTGTGCGCCTGTTTGCCGAGCTCCGACCAACAATGGCAGCTGTGTTGAAATGAGCTACTTTTAGCCTGGCACACAGCAAAGAGGAGCTGAATGACTAAACACGCTGCCTGCCTCCAAGCCCACGTGAGCCCCTCCCAGCTACGGGGGACGGGGGGGGGGGGAGGTTGGCTCAAGTTGTGCTTTGGCTCCAGAAGCTGCCTGCTTGCTGTGTGGTCCAAAGTTTGAAAGATGTAGAAAAGAAGCAGGGAATCAAATCAAAGATAATCAGCTCTCATGATGAACTCAAGCTCCAGTTTAAAGAAACATTTCCAAGGCAGACATCTTGATTCTGTTAAGGTCCCATCTCCAGTCATTTAGGAATGAAGGCTTGGGGAGTCACAGCCCCAAGGACCCTCATAGGGGCTAAAAAAGATAAAAGTAAAGATTTCCCCCATCCAGTTGTGTGGGGGGTGCAATGCCCATCTCTGTCTCCTAGCTGAGCCAGTGTTGTCCAAAGATGCTTCTGCAGTTATGTGGTTGGCATCCGTGGTGGGATTCAGCCGGTTCGCACCGGTTCAGCAGAACCGGTAGCTAAATTTTGCTGAGTTCGGAGAACCAGCTGAATGCACACTGCTTCCAGAAGTCCCTTCTAGGCCTCAGAGGCCTGGAGGAGGCTTCCCCAGCCCAGAACGGCCCGCTGGAAGTGCGTGGATGCCACTTCCGGAAGTCCGTTCTAGGCCTTGGAGGCCTGGAGGAGGCCTCCCAGGCCTAGAACGGCCCGCCGGAAGTGCGTGGATGCCACTTCCAGAAGTCCGTTCTAGGCCTCGGAGGCCCAGACCTGCATCCAATAAGAGAACCGGTTATTCAGGTACTTGAATCCCACCACTGGTTGACATGACTACATGCCAAGGTGCAAGGAACATTGCTACCTTCCCACCGAAGTGGTACCTGTTTATCTACTCACCTTTACATGTTTTCGAACTGGTAGGTGAGCAGGAGCTGGGGCAAGGAATCAAAGAGCTGTGCCAAAATCAAAGTACATCACAGTCTAGCATCTTGTATGTCCAACTCAAAGAAAACAAAACACCTGGATTCCAACCCTGTGCCAGAAAATCAACATGCTGAGCTGAAATCTTTAGGATGGCTGAACTAGGACCAATCTGTCAAGCTGTCAAATAAAGGCTTCCACAATCTTGGGTGCTGTTGCAGAAAATACACGCCTGCACAACAGAAGCTTCTAGCTGCCTTCCTTTTCAAGGGTATTAATTTTCTCTTAGGGGAAATGGAAGCTGCACTAGGGCAGTGGTGGCGAACCTATGGCATGGGTGCCAGAGGTGACACTCGGAGCCCTCTCTGTGGGCACACACACCATCTCCCCAGCCCCGCCTCCTCCCACAGCCCCTTCCTCACCAGCAGCCCCCCTGGAGGAGAGTTGCAGTGGAGCCAAGGACAGTGAAGCAGTGAAGCCAAGGACATGGTAGCTGGGCAGCGGGGACAAGACTCTGCCCTTGTGCCCCATTATGCGCAGATGATGCTGCGGGACAGGGGCGGAGGACATGGCCACCATGCGCTGCTGGGCTGCCTGGGTGATCTGTGGTGGGCTGTGGATGATCTGTGGTGGGCTGTGGAGGTGGTGGGTGGCCCAGTGGGCAGGGCGGAGCAGGGACGGGGGTGGGGGGGCAGTTTTTGGGCACTCGGTCTCTAAAATGTTCGCCATCACTGCACTAAGGCAATAACAAGCTTGCGTGATCCCATGTTGGCTAGCAGGTAATCCTCAACTTACCACTATAATGAAACCTCCCCATTATTTATTTGTATCCCACCATTATTATTGTTATTATTTCTTATTGCAAATAATTCAAGGCAGTGAACACATCCAAACCCCTTCCTCCTCCTATTTCCCCCACAACAACCCTGTTAGGCTGAAAGATGGGAACTGGCCCCAAGTCAACCAGCTGGCTTCCATGCTTAAGGCAGAACTAGAACTAACCATCTCCTGGCAATTGGCCCAAATTAGCCCAGCTGGCTTTCATGCCTAAGGCGGGACTAGAACTCACGGTCTCCTGGTTATTGGCCCCAAGTCACCCAGCTGGCTTCCATGGCTAAGGTGGGACTAGAACTCACAATCTCCTTCTCTGTAGTCTGGTGCCTTCACCACTAAGCCAAACTGGCTTTCTATTATGGACATACGTCATCGCAGTCATAAAGTGGGTCTCCCATGTAACCGACCTGAGTTTATGGATTTTATTAAACAAGCTGAATACTTGCT